ATTTCCATTTTCTATCACAGATTTATTCTCTACTCTACTACTACACGTATTATCAGTTCCGCGGTTACGTTGCTCAGATGGCGTTATGTCAGACATCGCGTCAACGGTTTTACACGCTTCACCGGTTCCTTGCGTCTGCTGTCTGCTTGCGTCGGCTGACGTTACGTGCGTCATTGCGTCGACTGATTTATTCGCTTCACCGGTTTCGTGCGTCTGTGGTTCGGATGACGTTATACGCTTCGCTGCGTCGTTGTCCTTGACGACCGCTGTTTTTGCTTCGCGCGTCTCTATTTCGTCCATTGTATTAGCTTTTTCTGTATTAATTTTATCATTACTTTGGCTATCATTATTTACATAGCGAGAAATAAAATCGGCCACTGGATTACTTGACCCCGGTATGTGAGAAAACGAGTTTGTCATACTTGTGATGTAATCCAGTTGACGATTTTCTCTGTCGCTGGGTCTATTTGTCGGATTATTTAGTGCCTGAATTAACGCTTTGTTATCGGATAATAATTGAAATTGTCGACCGATTAAAAGATTTTTAAAGTACTTAATGGTTAAGTAACAAGCCATTAGTTCTTTGGAGAAAATAGTATAGTTTTTCTCTCGCTTGTATAGAGTTTTTGAAAAGAACCCCAAGGGCTGGTTTATTCCGTCAACATATTGTGTTACGGCCCCTGCAATAGCAGACGAACTTGCATCACATATTACCGTTATTGGCACATCAATTCTTGGGTGTGCTATCATGCATGCGTTAACCAAACACTCTTTGATTTTATGAAAGGCAGCATCACATTCTGCTGTCCAAATTGGTTTTTGACGTTTGCGGTTTTTATCTGAGACTAATTGAGTAATCGGATAAATTATCTCAGAATATCTGGCTATATGTTTCCTATAAAAATTGCACATGCCTATGAATTTGCGACATTCTGTAATTGTTTGTGGTACTCGAAATTTTTTAATAACCTCGACTTTGTCTCTGATTGGTTTTATTCCATTTTCATCAAGTTCGTAGCCTAGATAAGAAAGATTTGACTTTCCAAACTCGCATTTTTTTAGGTTTAGTGTTAAACCATAGTGGTTTAGTCGTTTAAATACTTGATCGGTTACTTTCAAGTTTTCCTCTTTTGTTTTAGTGTAAATTAGTAAATCATCAAGATAGACAAAAACATTTTTCAACCCAAACAAAACTTTACTCATGAAGTTAGAGAAGGAACTGGGTGCGGAAGCAATGCCAAATGGCATCATAATGGGAATATACTGAGCATTCGCGACGCTAAATGCACACTTATGTCTATGTAACGGATTAAGTTTGATATTTGAGTAAGCCGATTCAAGGTCGAGTTTAGTAAAGATTGTACATCCGGCGAGTTCCGACGTAAAATCTTCAAGTCTCGGCAATGGGAATCTTGGGATTCTTGTAATCAGATTCAAACGTCTATAATCAAAAGTCAAACGAATTGAATTGTCCTTTTTAGGAACTACGTTCAGCGGGCTACAATACGGGCTAACTCCGCGAATTATATCTCCGTTTTCTAATAATTTATTTATCTCGTCGTCTACTTGCTTCTTATATTTGAACGGAACCGGTCGGTCTTTTGTATAAACTGGAGGTCCAAAAGTTATAATATCGTGTTGATAATTATGATTAATTCCTCGAAATTTTGCATGTTTCCGGATTAAAATTTCTGGATATTTTTGCAATAATAATTGGTATTCCTTATCTATTGTTTCCGGTATTAAGGTTAATATTGGCGCACCACTTAACGTATTATGACACGGAATTGAAAAATCGTCTGCTCTATTAGTTAAACAATTGTTTGCTAAGTCTATTACCAGTTTATTTTTAACAAGAAAGTCTATTCCAAGTATACCATCAAATTCTATGTTTGCTAACACCCAATTATGTGTATATTTCACCTTATCTGCCAAGCAAATTTCAATTTCGGTATTGCCCACTACGGTTAATTTTGTGCCATTTGCCGTAATCAGAGGTTCATATTTTCGGTCACGAATAATATGTGTACCGGGATTATCTTCGGAAAGATTTTTTATGGTTTTAAATTGATGTAACTTTTTGGCATTTAAAATACTATAAGTTGATCCAGTATCAACTAAAAGTCGATTTTTAGAAAGGGAATCATATACAAAAAATAATTTATTGTTGCTTGACAGAGACGGTAAATTATTTTTATTTAAATTTTCACAATTCTTAAATTTATGTACAGCATTTGTTTTACGAGAGGGTAGACCTTCCGGGCTGTTAAAACCAGAAAAGTCTACCCTTCGGCTAAAAAATTCTTCTTTCTAGGAAAGCTGCAAGGGGCATTACATTTGACTGCGTTTTCTCCAAATTTATTATGGAAATAGCAGAAATTTACATCACAATTCCGTCTCCAGTTATAATTGTTCGAATTGAAAGTATTCCTAGGATAACCTCTAGCAAACTTCCTCGTTTCAAATTGACGCCTATCTTGAGAATTGTACTGTCTCGCTTGATGCTGCGGAGGGGCATTATATCGATGAACCGGGTTAAATTTTGGTTCGAATCTTGGGCTGTTTATTGCTTTGATTTGGGTATTCAAATTATCAACATTTTTAGCCAGAGACGTTACCAGATCTGTTAATTGCTCCAGTTTATTTTGTCCAGAATTGTCTTTTTGATAGGAACTTGTAACATGGTTCGAATTATTATCTGAGGAATCATAAATTTGCATCGCGCGAGCCAGCAATTTCTCGCATGAATATTTTGCTATATCTGAGTATAAGACGTTGGCTATGTAAGCTGGTAACAATGCTACAAACACTTTCTTTATTAGATTTTGAACTTCTATACTGTTTCTATGTCCCCCAATAAAGGAATCTTTCAAATATTTAAGAATAATATCTGGCCTTTCATTTTGTAATTGCCCAGAAAATATTTTCTGTAATTTTTCTCGAGAATCCGGTGCAAAAATGTCCAACAAAATTTGTTTCAGTTTTTCATAATTATTATTATGTTCATCGAGCGGCATCCTTGCCCTGACAAGATCCAGTTGTGGAGAATTTAAACACCTTAGTATATAGTTTTTCTTTTGCGAATCGCTGACTATTTGATTTTCAGCGAATTCGTTTTCCGTTAAAAAGATCCAATTTTTCACCGAATTTTCCCAAAGTGGTCTCGTGGGAATTCTATGCTTTTCATACAATATTGTTCTAGGTTCAGTTATCTGAGAGATTCTGGAATTTATGCCGTAATTCGGTCCGGAATCTTCTACTCTATCTTTATTGGTCAAAAATGGGTTGTTTGTGTCATTAAATTTCCTAACCGACGGCAATTGAAAAGTTATTCTCTGTCCAGAATCACCTCCCAAATCCTCGCACTGCGTAAGCTCCATATCAACAACAGGTTTTGTTTCCTTTGGGGACGAACTTTGCCAATTACAATTGTCATCTTCACGTTCAATTAAATTTGATTCAGGAATATTCAAATTTTCAAGTCCAAATTCTGTTTCGTCTTCAATATCTCGGCGTTTTGGTATTTCAGGCGTAATATGTGTTAATTGATATGGATTTACACCTGATTGTTCTGATTTACGAGCTTTGCTTCGCGTAAACATTTTTTGTAATTTGGACATTTATTTACCGAATAATCAATATACCATACAACCTTATACACACTTAAGTAAAACCAGGTACAATATTGTAAGAAGATATTACAAACCAGGTCAAACAGTTGATAAATCACACAGAATAGTTAATAGAATAAAATGACTTACGATTGTTGACGATCCATAATAATCCCGACGTTCGGGGTCACCAATGTAACTTCTGGCTGTCTTTGCTTTCTAATTAAGCGAATTAGATAAGTATCTGACTCCAAAAACAGAATATATAGTAGGTTACGTGTTCAATTTGAGATATCTGTTAATTTTATATAACAGTAAGGATCTGACCCATTTGCCTGTAAAGATTTTTATTTCCACAGATAATATATCACAATAAATTGACTTACAATAAAACACACTCACAATCGTGAAAACCAAGTCGGTGATGAATTAGCATTGTTGCATCGAAATTGAAATAGAAAAGCCGGTTGCTGTATCGAACGAATAGAAAAGCCGGTTGCTGTATCGAACGAATAGAAAAGCCGGTTGCTGTATCGAACGAATTGAAATAGAAAAGCCCGGTTGACCACGATCAAAATGTCTATTTAAACGGTAACATCTTTTTCATCTCGCTCGCCAAAAACGGTACCTTTCTTTATTATCCAAAAATCTCGTTTCCCACGGAGCAATTTTTGCTCATATCTAGAATGTTCGGTACCCTTCTTACAATAATTACACTTGTTTATTGGTTACCTGACATGGGAAATATCCATTTTCTCATACACGAGAAAGATCTAGACTCAATATTTCGAATGATCTAGAAAGATCTCTTCAATATTTCGGTTGTTTATGGGTCACCCGACATGGGAAAATATCCATTTTCTCATACACGAGAAAGACTAGAAGGATCTCTTCAATATTTCGATTACGTCAATTATTATATAGAATTTGACTTCCATTATCCAAATTATTGGTTAATTTGTTACAACAAATCACAAATTCCTCCACTGTTGGAAAACGACAGGTTGAACGAAAAAAAGTTTTAATGACTAACATGCATTCAAATATACAATTGCTAGGAAGATTTTAGCCCAGGGTAATAATTTTGATTGGGTCAATAAATTGTCAAAAAGCAAATTTAAGTTGAATTTAATGATAAACTCAATTCAAAATGTTATTCTGCGGCATTTACCTTTAGACCTACTCTAATTTTATTTATTGCAGCTCTTACTTGAAACTAATTAGGTAAATTGCATCAAAGTTATCTGTTTATCTAAAAAAATCATCATTTTGAAGGTTTAAATTTAATTTTTTACTAAGATAATTTTGGTGAAATATTTCATAAATTTATTAATTGCTTATATTAGTTTTTAACTCTTTAACACCTTTTTTTTACCGATATTGTAATAGCCTTGAGAAGTTCCGATTCGAGCGTTGAGAGTTTCGATACCGTTCGCGCCCCAACCAAAATATCACTGGTCACGTCCCCTGCTGGTGAGGAGTTGTCAGTATTTAATGCAACAATTCACATCTTAGATGATACTGTGAGTACATCTAATTGGTTACTGTTATTTCTCTAATTGTTTATCAGTGTCTTATAGTTCTACTATAAACAAGGCTTTAAACTAGCAATCATATGGAGACAAGAAAATACCTTTTTTAGCTGACTTTAATTACATCCCTATCGCCAGACTATTTGGAATTTTAACTTGGTATTGTAAGGACTGTCTTTATTCATGTTGGCAAAATGTAATCTCTTTGTATTAATATTAAAAATGGCTTGATTTTCTAAGTTTCAGCAATTAGCGAGCAGACCTAATATTTTACTTTTTAAGAAAAGTGAAGAATATAAGACTTATTACCCTGTGATGATAACATACGCTTAGTGACATTTTATCGCCAAAATCTATTTTTGCTCATGAATGGAAAAAGTCGCTAAAATGCTAGTAATTTTTTTTTTTTCAATTTCCTGCAAGTCCCAAGTGGCCCGATATTTCACCAGCAATTTTGCTGTGCTGCTTGCTGTGGAATGTTTTCTATTGTATCGCCGGATTTCCAATGTTTTCAACTCGGTGCTCTCATGGCCTTGATATACTAGTACTGATGTACAACCTTTGTGCATTGCTTCTCAGTAATCGTTATTATCATTTGTTTCAGGACACACTTGTATCAACAACCAATGCATGGAAAGTAAATGTCACTCTGGATTCCAAATCAGACTCGTTAGCTGAATTGTCGGGAAAAACTGTTGAAGTCACATTTGAAAACGTAAATTATTTTAAAATATAACTGACACTGACTCAAAATTAAGTAAATCCTAATAGATTTTTTCTCGACCCTTGGTCCCATAAAAATTCCCTTTTAAACTCAACCATTGGTCGATAGGATAAGATTTACATATTTATCCCAGGGGAGAGGAAAGCCGATAAGATGGCTAACTATATAGCGAACCACGGCCTCTCGTCCAGTTACCATTCCATGTCGCGTGTGGGATGAGTTAGTTATTTGTTCGATAGACCTGATGGTGAAGGAAGCTGTAACCGACCAGCGGTTAACCAGTGAACCACCCTACAGCGGCGAGGAGTCCAGCAATCTTCTCGCACATAACCACCGCCGCATGAGATTCGAAACTGTGAACCCATGCAGAGTAATCAGAGGTGCGGTGGCGATCGTAATCCCAATGCTTATCATGATGAGCCACACCGCTGTGATTTTCATTGTCTTGCTGCTATAGCATAGTTCATGCATTCGCTAATATTTTTGTTACAGCTTCACCAGTCATAACTATTTCGATATTGAACCTGGACTGGTCAAGACTATTCACTTATCAATCTCTTCGAACAAGAGTCTAGGTTAGATCATAATCTGCCTTCTTGATATATGGCTGGAAAACTATATGAAAACATTTAGTGTTTTTGAACAATAAAATTCCAATTTCCATTTTTCAGGGGGAAGCGAAGTTTACTGACCTTAGTATTTCACACAGTGGAACTTACACACTTGTATTTACGGCTTGGAGTACAGCTTCAGATAACATAACGCTGTCTACCACATCACCAGAAATCGTCATTACAGAACGAACAGTCAATGTGAATTTTGAAAAACTGACTCCAGAATTACCGAAAGAAGGAGACAATTTACAATTTGAGTTGCAACTTGTAGATGAAAAATCTGAAGCTCTAACACAAGTATCTCATAAGGTAAATTGTTCATGCAGATTTTCTCAAATCTAGTAGGAGTTACAGGACAGGATTTCCATATTTATCCTGGGGGAGAGGAAATCTGATAAAATGGCTTAATCAAATTGCGAAAACGACCTCTTGTCAAGTTACCAGTTAGTTGTTTCAGCCAGTTATTTGCTTCAAATATATGGATCTGATGGTAGAGGAATCCATAACCGACCAGCTGTTTTGTGACCTTATGACAGCTAATCTAGCAATACTTTCGCTCATAATTATTCTCACGAAATTTATACCTGAAACTTTTTTCATGCCATTCGATCCTTTCCAGTTCAATTTGAAGCTCTTTAAGATAGCCAAGTGGAAAAATCTGGCAAGACTTGAAAATAAAAATTTGAAATAAACTTCAATTTTACAGGAACTTACATGGAAAGTTGAAATTTGTTTTGACGATCCCAACATGTATACAGGCGTTGCTTTATCTGACACGAATGTGGTTACTTTTGATGGAGAAACAGGAAAAGCGACCACCAGCATTTCATTGAGTGGAACAAGTGATTACCTAATTTACAATTTGAAGTTCCGACTTTATACAGAACCAGCAACCACCACTTATGACAAGACAATTGGTATCAAGGATGTTCAGGTATATATTCAATAAAATTATACAAGAATTTGAACTGTACTTGGGACAAAAGTGGTTTAGAATAGGATGAGAATTTCATATTTACCCCGGGGAGATTTCTAGCAATCCCCTCACACATACCGTAATTATACCAGAAAATTTTTTCGCTTTTAAGAGTAAATAAATCGGTACTCGCGAAGTATGTGAACCAAGATGGCGGACACCGGAACGGAGTATGTGTACCAGGTTAGGGTTAGGCCATAATTCGATTCCACATTTCCTTATTTTTGCTCTATTACGAGTTCGGGGCCAAGTTACTCCCGTAGTATTTGTACCTGAAATTATGGCCTAACCCTAACCTGGTGCACATACTATGTTCCAGTGTCCACCATCTTGGTTCACATACTTCGGTAGTGCCAATAAATCTGAGGTGAAAACATTGAAAGAATCAAATCTAAAGCACAAATCTGACTTAATTTTTCACTCAATATTCAATGTGCATTATCTACTACTTCACCAGACATTGAACAGCTACTTGCCAATAAACAAAGCTAGCCTTCACATTAAATGAATATAAGGCTAATACTATGCTGTTGATTAGCTTATATTGTTTTTCAAAAAATGAGCACCACGAGGATAAGTTTAGTAACCAGATTTGCTGTAAGGGTAAAAAGTCCAAAAAATGTTGCGATCCCCTGATCTATATTAGTACTGTCATTGATGTTACGCTCCATCTCTTAATTATACTCGATATAACTTATAGAGATTTCAATAGAAAAATAAATAAACCTTTGACAACCAACCTCTATGACTTCGAAAATCCAGATAATTACGAGAATAAAATATTCTGATTATATTATTCATATTCAAAAATAATTTCCTTATATTTCTAGATTTACCCAACAAACGAGGCAGATTACAAGCACAATGGTGGAGTGACAATGCAACTTGTGTGAGTAAATTTTTGTTATTTTCTGCCTAATGTTTAAAATGGTGGGCTAGATTGGATCAATAGAAAAGGGCTCAAATCAAAAATTGATAACCAGTAATACCAACGTCTTATGTGTCAATAATTATTTTAGTATACAATGAACAGGATAGTATTTTTGATGCTCCAGAAGTATGTGTACCAATATGGAGGTAACTAATTTTTTTTGCCTACTTTACATTAAATTGTATAAAGGCACTGAAACCTATGGTCAAGGGGTATATTGACTATGCTGTTTGGTTATCTATCCTTTGCTACCAAGTATATTCATATAGGACGGCTTACTTTTTGGCTATCTTCCTCAATTAACTTTGAATAGGAGCTAGACAAAAATGCGAGTCGACTTATTGGCTTTCCTCTCTATCTACGGATAAATAGGAAAAATTTTCTTTAAAGAGAATCTGTAACAAGCCTTTTCTTTTACTTTAAGATTCCTTTTTGTTGATGACTACGATACTGTGCTTCAGAGCAGTGATGTTAAAACAGTACAGACCGGGACATACAACGATATGGCTTCAAAATTTGATAAAGTCTATTTGAGTCCTTTCATTGCTTCAAAATCAACAGGTGAATTATTATACTGTTCTGTTACAATTTTAAATACTAGAAACTAGTACTAATTATTTGATGTCATACCCCCAGTATAGCCAGGGAAAGATAATGAACCATACCCCCCTTTTGCTAATAGTATCACTATAGTATTAGGATTGACATGGTTTAAAATTCCAGTTATTAATAGAATACTTGAGCCATAACCATGCCCATGTTCCACATACCCTCAATTCTGTATTTTAGGCAATTGTTATAAATGAAGTCATAATATTGTTTTAAAATGTCCATTATCACATGATAACATCTTCTAAACAAAAATAATACACTGAATATTTTACGCTGCTTTTCAAAATACAAAATATAACAAATTGCATGAATTTTGACATCACAAATTTTGAATTATATCCATCTTCACTCCCCCTGTGCGATGTCATGTTGAACAATGTAAATAACATGTAGTTTTAACTTGGAAAATCTTTTTTTTAACAAATATATAAATACCCTAGGTTCTCGCAAGAGACGTTCAACAGGAACTACAGATGGCAAACTCACAATTACCACAACAGCAAGGGGCACGACTCAGGAAGATTTAGACCAATTCATTGAAGATTTCGAAGCGGACGGAAGGGTTAATTATGGTAGCACTCAACTCACACTTGCATCTTCATGTGGCATTACAAAGGACGGCTCTTGTTATGGAGAAGAGGCTACAACTGTACAGGTAGGATTTCAGCGTTAATTCTTTTCGCTGAAAAATTTGATTATTGTGGTTTGAAAATAAACAACCTTAAACTTGCAATGTTAAGAATTCACATAAGAATAAAAAGTCAATTATCAAATATTAGTTTCAAGCTTTCAGCAACGCCTATCCAATTTATTACACTCTAGGTAAGTTGATGGCGTGGATTTGAATCCAAACTTATTTGCCTCTTGTGCTTGTGCACTATCTTCGTTAAGTCTAACACTTTCACTACTTGACCATTGGGCCCAATTTCATGGTCCCCACCTCACCCAGGGTCTGGAAAAATTTAGGTAATGATATCAGTGGCATCTTGTATTGACAAGGTTGTGTTAAGAGCGAAAAGAGTGAATAAACGTGATAAAAAAATGCAAGAAAAATGATCTCTATTTTTCCTGACAAGCCCACATAGTGGCAATGACTATGTGCAGAAATAATTTTAAGCTCATCTCTTCTGTAGGGTGTTTTGCGTTTTTCTGGTGCTGTCTTTGCTGCTGTTTAAGACAGCACGATCCGATACCAAAACCAAAGGCTGTGTTTCACCATATAACCATACCATGCTAACATTTTTTTTATTCCACTCTGAAAATGTCTATCTTGATATGATCTGATTTTTCAATTTCAGGACACAACCACTACGAGCAAAGCTTCAGCAGAAGTTAACACTGACAGTCAGACAACCATCATAATATTCGCAGCACTCGGTGGATGCGTGGTCCTGGCTGCGATCATCATTACTACAACTTGCCTCGTGAAGCGACAGAATAGTGAGAATTCAACTTATTAATTATTTTAATGTGATATTACATTGCTCGAAGCAACACCTAAGAAATCGGGTTGTCCTGAAGTTGAGATATAAAAATAAATAAAAGCATTTATCAGCAGTGAAATGATAACCTTGTTGTTGTTTTTATAAAACTCGCTCCTCTCTGCAACTATTGAATCAATCGATTTCAAATTTGCAGTACTTGAAGACGGTAAAAGCTGCTAGCTCTACTTTTCCACGATTATTTCCTGAAACCCTGATATTACTCCGCCTTCATATCAACATAATTAAGCCTTTCTCACTAGTTCTTCAAGCCGCCATTATAAGATGAATCCATTTAATGAGTGTTGCAATTTTGCTTCTGTGACCCTGAAGTTGACGTTTTTCGCTTCAAACAGGGCTCTATTTACTCAGCCAGCTGATATCTGGTGATAGTAAGAAACTAAATTTTATTTGAGAGGACTGGATGGCCTACCCAACCTTGGTGAGGTTGTGGGAATGGAATTTGAACTCAATATCTAATCTAATCGATATATCGTCTAATGGATTCTCTAAGCAATTTCTTCATGAATATCTCCAACTATATGTTTACTTCTAGCTATGACCAAAGTGTCTGCGATGAGATGTTTGGATGCCAGAAGTGGAAGCCCTGAGTCGCAAGCCCCGTTGTACTATTCATTGGATAGTTTTCGGCCAGGAACGGGAAAGTAAGTATATAGGAGAATAATTTTTATATTTTTCCCCATCAAGCATAACATTCCTAATCCGACAGCTTATGTTTAATGGGTAAAAAGACGTAAGGGTATTTTTTCTATTCACTGCTTTAAATTTTTTGCCGTTTTGCCCGCTGCCTTTATTACTGCAACAATCTCATATCGCAGTTCTGACCTTTGGCATCCGGGGGGTCCAACCTTTAATTCTAGCAAAATAGATGTAGCATTCCTTCTACTGAAATAAACTTGCAATTAATTTGAACTCTAATTTCTAGGGATTGGAGGGGAGCAACTCCGGATTCCTTCAGAGCCTACGACAACATGACTCCGGTGGCCCAAGCCTAGTCAGCTCCAAGTCTTGATGTATTTATGTGTGATATTGTCGTTACTCTTTTTGCGTCCGCTTTACCATCTCTCTTTTCTTAAATTGTTGTAGTACTAGTATATACGTGTTATGTGATTGGGTATAAACCTTTTCCAGTTTTTTTTATCTTCTATCACTGTGTTTATTGTACTTTTTCCATACTATCGTATCACTCTCATTTTATAGCTCTTCTTTTTGTGTATGTATGCCTTCCAAAAATAATTTTCTAATCAAGATAATACCAAACCACTTTTCTGTCCAGTCTTTTAACCATTTTAGTTTGTTTTTTGTCTCAGCAACAATTTGTTGAATAATTGTGAAGAATTACTGCCGTGGAGCCAGCACCGTACCCCGGAAAGATATTAGTACAATAATACAATTTCCTCTTCTGATTTAAAATTGATTACAAGCATTTGGAAATATAAAATAAGCCAACTGACGTTACAACAAAGTATGCGCGAAAACAACTATTATCCCACGTAAAATCGGTCCAGTCAGCTGGTTATCAGTTAATTGCATAGTTATCCTTTTATTATGTTCAATTCAGAATAATATTTCTCTTCAAATGCCTGGCTTCCACTGTTTTATTTTTATTACCTTAGATGTGTACAGATCGTTTGATCTTCTTAAACATGAATATATTTTTAGCAACAATGCTCGTCTGTTGATTTGAAAGTTGGCTCCAACTGTGTTTGGAAGTAAAAAAGTGTCTTAGTAATGCAGTTCCCCTCATTTTCTTTTTAGCACAGTCGTCCCACTATGCGTCTAGAATGCGATTCATACAAATGCAACGAAACATTTTTGAAACGCCTACTTTGTTAATGCAATTTGGATAAGATTAGGCGATACCATTACTGATCAATTACGTATATTTAATAAGGCAGTAAAACACTAAACTTCTAAGAGTGGGCTCATTGTGTCCCGTGTTGTTTGTTGTATAACAGTTAATAATTACATGAGCTTTTCAGTGAGTGGTTAAGTATGGTGGTGACGAGGTTGTTAGACTCCCAGCAGGTTGGTGCAGTTACAGAGCCATCTAACATATAATGCTTTTGATAGTTTTACTTGTCCATGTACCCAACAGCAGAAAAGGAAATAGTAAAGTTGAAAGCCAAATGCCTATAAATAATATTTTAAAAACCATCAAGTTTTCCTCACCATCTTAAACACCATGTAGTATATAGTCATTGTATATATTGCCGTTCGCGTTACCAGATTACGGTAGTTACCAATTTGTATACCCGGCCTTACCAAGCAAGTTAGATATGGGGCCCAACAAACTGAAAGTAAATCCACAAAATCACCACAAGTCTTGCTTTACGATTTGGTTTCGTTCGCCATCTTGAACATTACGTAGTATGTATATTGCCAAATATGGTAACAGAAACAGAAGTGAAATATATAGTCTTATTATGATACTTAAAAGCATATTTATTTATAAACCATATCTATAGAACAAGCTGCAATACACAAGAAAAACTCTGCAATAGAATTATGGTGAAATTTAAATTTGCAAATTAGACTAATGACTGACTACTGGAACGCGAGGAATGCAGCATTGTATTCTTTCCACTATTCATGGCGATGAGTAATAAGTAGACTAGTGCAATTGGATTGAGTACAACAGCTCTTGATCCTCATTTCATTTTGGTTAGATAACTTTGGCATATAGCAAGAGTATAAAAGAAAAGCTAATATATATAAGGCAGTTTTTTCAACCTTTTTGGTGTAGCATAACCAAATAAAATTCTAGAAGCTCGAGGAAATCTTGTGCAATTGATTATGTGTATAATTATTTATACGATCGGTTTTGCTATCACAAAATGTGTAACAAAAATTTGACTTGGACACTAGTGAACTACTTATTACATGATTATATTATACCTTTGTAGCAGATTATATTCAAACAATATAAAACAATACGGACCTTACAGTTTTGGATGTAGACTCATGGAACTCTGTACTGTGCTGGTGAAAACCACTGATCTAAGGTAATGAATGTCATGATAATACGAGCAGTAACAGGAATTAGGTAATTAATGCACATGTTCAATATCAAGAATTATATATAAAAGTGCTGATCAAAAAAAATTCAGTCAAGTGAAGTAATAAAAAATTAATTTCAATAGGCAGATACTAGGGAAATCAAGTAACATGGTTCTAGAGCAGGGCTTCCCAAACTTGGGGTCGCGACCCCGTAGAGAGGCGCGTAACGAATTTTATGGGTCACAAAGAGTACACCAATTTCACATAAAGTACTATATATATTGTAGGTTTGCTTCCAATAACACAATTATCAAAACCAAGTGCAAAACATAAATCTCACGATTTTGAGAAAATACATAGAATCAGAGAAGCGGCGCTTACATAACATTCCCGACTTTACGGAGGGCGCAGGAAATTTTGATATATTGGAAGGGGTTGCGAGATAAAAAAGTTTGGGAATTCCTGTTCTAGAATCTAGAGGTATTATAATTAACAATCAGTAACTTATTCAATTTAGTTGAAATGCATAAACTTTTCAATAAAACTAACTATTCTAATACTCATACATAGCAATACAGGGTGCATATTGATTGAAGCACTCAAAGCGGTTGTTGACAAATTTGAGTTTGTGACCAATTTAAGGTTTATTGGTATAATGAAAAAATACAATATAAAAAACTTTTGCGCTGAAAAATAATATATTTTGTATTCGGTCATGTCTAGGAACGGCTAACACTGGGCAGAATGCAATCTGAGATGATCATATATGAGAAATTCTGTAACAAAATGTTGAGAACATATGATAATTGTCTTTGGTCCAGTGAACAGCAAGTCCCTTTTTCTATCACGTTTTTCTCTCTTATCTTCACTTTCTTTTTCTTAACTTTTGCTCTCTCTTTCTCTCCTCTGCTCTCTGTTGTTCTTCTTCATCTTTCACAGCCTGTTCCTTTGCAAATCTGAGGAAAACCTGAAAATGCGGGATCATACGTTTTTTAAGTAACTACAAATATGATTTCATAAGAAGAAGTCTCTAAACAAGCAATGGTACTACCGTAATGTGTGTACCAGGTTAGGCCATAATTTTTTTCCAATTTTCCTTATTTTAGTTCTTTTACGAGTTCGGGGACTGTCTGTGTTAGCCAAGTGAATACTTACCCAGCCCATAGGTTTCAGTCCATTTACACAACTTGATGTAAAGTAGGCGAACAAAATTAGTTACCTCCATATTGGTACACGCACTTCTGGAGCGACCAAGCAATTACCAAGTATATGTTATATTTTAAAATGACAGAGATTTTTTACATCCTAGGCAAATTAGTTAAAACTAGAGGCCTTTACCCGTATCGACAAAACATTTCAGAATAATGTTCAAACCACTATGCTATTCAAACCGTTGCATGTGAAACAATTAAATGATGGCTATTCTTCTACCAATCTAGATAGGTGAACAGAACGAGGGCCATGATTTATCCTAGTAATTAACCGTCATTACAGAATTATAATGAAAATTACAAAGACGATTGTAAGTGAGTGAAATGTTTAAATGTTGGCTATTCCTGTACCCAACCTATATATGTGAACCCTAGTACCCTAGCCCCATTACAAAAATATAACAAAAAAATCCTAAAGACGCTTGTATGTCAAATGGTGGCTATTCCTGTACCAAATTATATATGTGAACAGGACAACAGGTCATGATTTGCCCTAGTAATAAGCTCCCATTACAAATATATAACAAAAAAATCTTAAAAGACGCTTGTATGTCAAATGGTGGCTATTCCTGTACCCAACCTATATATGTGAACGGGGCAACAGGTCGTGATTTGCCCTAGTAATTAGCCCTCATTTCAAGATTATAACAGGAAGATTACAGAAACGCTTGTAAAAAAATATGGACATGATATCTCACCTGTTCTAGAGTCGACTGACTGAAGCTATATTCTTCAATTCCGAGTCTTGTTTTAGCTTCTTCCATCGATGAAAACACATTTGCAAGCGAAATTACGTCGTCACGCTTGATTTTGTACGTTAAGCGATTCCCAAACTTTTCTGGTTCTTCCACTGAAGGGAAAAGCTAAAAAGAAAAATAGTCCAAGCTGAAGGCGCAAACCTCAAAGTCGGCACATACAAACATTTTAATCATTGGTAAACAAAACAATACAAATTAATGAATATTTACCCCTCTGACAAATACATCCAAATCATCAGACTCTGGTGGTATGTGTTCTCCTCCCTCCCCATCTTCTTCACCTTCTTGTAATTGATGATCGAGTTTAATTTCTAAGATATATCCTTGGCCAAATTTATCTTTTAAATGCTGCGTTGATCCAATACATCTGAAAACACATAAGCATTAGTATTCGTGGTGGTTGGAATAGACTGAAAAAAACAACAATATTTATTTCGTATTTTCCGCTGCGTACAAGGTTGCGCGACATTTTGTACAATTCAGAGTCTATCAAAAATCTGACTTGAGCATGACATTATTTTCGACTCCAAATTGAGAACTTTAGATTTCAAATTAATTTCCTACCTCAATTGGCCAAGTACCATGATACCAACTCGAGAACATAGTGCGTCAGCTTCCTCCATATAATGTGTTGTTAAAATTGCACCTCGGTTTGTGCCTTCGAATGCACTGCTGATTGTATTCCTGAATCACATAAATATAGCATAAGTTCAATACACTAGCATTGGTAATTATCGAAATTTTCATCAATTAGCTATAGAAATTCATATCAATTATAGGAATTTATAAGATTTGAAAAAAATTGGGTTATAAAATTTTTTTTATTTTATGTTGGCTGCAATCAAAAATGTTTCCTCTCTGATTCTATCAGTAGTCTGCTGCAACTCTTCTTCGATTTTAGGCTAAGGCTTGTTGGTTATGAAATGAGCGATCATATATTTGAAATATTTACAAATTCTCACATTGCTTTATCACACAATTGCATAGAAATGGCTTCTGATTCCAAATTTAAATAAAACTTTGCAGAAAAATAGGTAATTATTACGGCAAAAAAGTACAAAAAAGTCAGTCTAATTGTGAAATAAAATTTTCAAAATTTCACAAAATATTTAGATATAATGAAACAGTCTTGAAAGTAATTTATTTTTGAACACCTATTTTACATAAAATGCACAACATAAGTCTAATTATGAAATAAACTCACAGATATTTCAGAATAATATCAAATTATTAACCCTCGGGACAAAATTCGAACATCTCACCATAAAAATCTCTTAGTTTTCGGATCCATGCCGGTAGATGGTTCGTCCAGCAACACAACTTGTGGATTTCCGAGCATTGATATCGCAAAACACAGTTTTCGTTGAGTGCCACCAGACAGTGCTTTAACTCTTTTATCCTCATGTTCGACAATGTCTAATGCTTCCATAAAACTAAAAATGAAAGATTTTTAAATACAAAATGAAAGATTTTTAAATACAAAATGAAAGGAACGCTCGAATACTGTCATGAATAATCATATTTGACACAATAAAGTTAGGCAACAAAATGGCAATGTTGCAATTGGACAAGCGAATGAAGGTATTCAACTGCAAATAATATTTTAACATTCAATACGATTCAAGAGAGTTACTGCTGCGCAAACACACCCGCAGCAAGACCCTTGAATTATGAAGAATAGTCATCTTTATTCCAGCTTCAGCATCCTTGCATCATACACATTCACTAGCGCAGAGGCATATAAGAAAAATAGGTAGTTAGTCTTATGAAACCACAACTAATACTTCAATATTTTTCATATCCTGTATGCATGAAGATATAATTCATCCAATTTTTCTCTACACATGGCTTAATTAGGGAAGTAAATGAAGCTCACAGATTCATATTCAGTTTTGAATATATTATGTACCTTTAGATAGCGCAAATAATTCAAAATTTTCATCATCACGCAACCAACTTTATAATATACTACAATTTTATAAAAGATATCGTACTGTTGTTGAAAAACAAAATCTAAATTATGAATTAATCATTTTTAGCCATCTCAAGTCTCTATATTACTCTATTTTTTTATCATAAAAGGACCAAACACGATGAGGCTATATTCAACTATAACCACAAAGATTATATTCTTTAGAACGATCAGAAAAACTCTTACTTCTTAACTGTCGCTGGAATCTTATCTTTCGGGACACCACGAACAGTAGCATAGATTTCAAGATGCTCTCTCAGAGTAAGTGCTTTCCACAACGGATTACTCTAAAATACAAAGAAATATTTGTATGAGAAAGCAATTTAGAAACTAGAAATCACAATCCATTTTGTTTAACATAAAATCGTCATCAGACAATTCATGTTATGACACAGTTATTATATTTGGGAAATCTGGATGAACAATGGACAGGAATCCCAAAGTGTTTTGTAACAAGCAGCCTTTCAAGAAACATATTTTTAAGACTTCATGTTATCTACTAAAAATTTGAAAGAAACTGGATCTGAACTGTGGGGCAAACAATATTTTGTCCCAACAACAACATCAAAACAAAACTTCAGATACTTTGGTGAATAGCAAAATGTCTAAAAATACACCTATTTCTGTTTCTAATTTATAAATTTCAACAATCGCTTTTTTTTCTTGAAACTCCTAAATTCAGCAAAATGAACAATGTGTTATACAAAAATTAACATTTGAACACGATTTAATCCTAAAATAATGAAAAATAGGTCGAAAAACTTTCAACGTACTTGTGGGCAATATCCCATTGTCTTGAAAGCTTCTGAGAAAGTAGAAGTAACAGAATGTCCCCCAACAGATACCTGAAAAAAGGTTAATGCAGTAAAGACTATTCATTGATAATATGAAGAACAAAATTATTGGTATGAATTATTAGCCTTGGTTTATTATTACATATGATCTTATTGTCAGATGAAATTTGAAATAAAAAACATAACAAAGGATACTGTCTGCATAATAGTTATGAAAGCTTACACGACAACTTAAATATCTAAAACAGATTATGGTACACAAGATAGAATTTAAAATTCACATATGACGAGACAAAATGGCGTAATCACAGTGCAAACCAATTATGATATGTGAACCCTCACAGCAATGAAAAATCCAGCATTCGTTCAATAAGGAGAAAAGTACTTCTGGCATAGACCATTAAAATAAAGTTTCAATATTTATCTTCTAACAAGTCTCAGTATAAGAAATCAAACAAAGTTTTAATAAAGCATTCTAACCAAAAAACCAAAATTGAATTGTGTTAAATATCAGAAATTTTAATCCAAACATACTCTCCCTGCAGTAGCTCCGACGTCCGCAATCAAAACGTTTAGGGCAGTTGTTTTTCCAGCACCATTTGGTCCAAGTAATCCAACAACTTCACCAGGATAAACAGTCATTGATAAATTGCGAACTGCAACCTAGTTGATAACAATGAACAATAAAGAAAAGCTTAAATTGAATTTGTCATATATTATATAAATATCTCATAAAGTGTTCTAATTTTTTTCAGTAATAAGACCAATAATCTTTTTCCATTCAAAAATTAATACTTTTATATAGTCAAGTCAGAAGGAGACAATGTCAGTGTCAATGGAAGAAACACTTAACTTGAATGCATAATTTTTTCCAGCTTCAATTGGAAATGTCGGAAATTTCTGAAAACTCACAATTGCAAGAAGTTGAAGGAATTTGGAATTTGATAGAAATGATACTGATGCAATTAGATGTAAAAGATTTTCTTGTGGATGAGATGACACCTGGCACAGGTCACAGAGAGCTACCATTAAGTCTAAAAATCTTGTTTAACTTCAAAAATTGATTTGTTACAATCAATCAAAAATGCGATCAGGGATTTGGAAAAGTCAGCGAAACAGTAACAAGTCAAACAAATTGTTTTTATTAAAATGTCAAATCATGCAATTATTACCTTGACTGTTTCGTCATCTTCTCCATCAGAAGGTTTTCTACAACTTTGAAAACTTTTCTCCGTTCGTTTTGTAAACTCTTTGCGTAAACCTTCCATCAATACAACCGGCCCCTAAAGAATATTAAGAAATAGTTAAAATAGAAACAAAAGGGATTTTTCTATGTATAAGCCATCAGTAAAAATAAGCCCTACTGAGTTAACATAAAGATTATGGGCTGTGCCGGTCAAAGAATTATACCAATTGAGTTACTGAACAATCTGCGAAAGCTAAAGAGAACTATAAAGAATCTTACTACCAAATCTTGCGGAAAAAAAATTTCAACCAAAACGACAACAATAATTTCACAAAATACTCCATGTGTTCCCTTTGTGTCCAGTTATACTAAATAAACATCCTATTTTTAGTAAAGAATTAATACATACATCATCAGAATGTTGGTTCCTCGAAATCTCTTCAACTTTGTTTCTTTCTTTTGTAACGTCATCATCTTCTGCGTCATCCACGTCATTGTTACCAACGTTCACCCATTCTGATGATCCCACTTGACTCCTGAAACAGTGAAAGATTTAACATATGCGTAATACTTATTGTTAAGCGTACAGAGCCTTGTTCGGAGCGGCGGGCGTGAATAAGAGTCGAATAAGAAACGAGTTCAAGAAAGTTGATTCAACTATCTATAATACTTATTGTGAGATATCAGTGGTAGCTCGTACAGGGCCTTGTTCGGATCAAAGAGCGTGAATTCAATAAATTCAAGGATGAAACCAGGACAGGAAATCTTTAATATTTGACATGTTATGAGATACAGGATTCAAAACATTAATGTACCTTCCACAACCAGGCAATTCTCCGCCACTCTTCTTTATATCGGCAATTACTAGAATTCCAGAGAGTAGGACAATATGAACATAAGCCATTAGAATAGAAAACGGCAACATAGGCTCACTCCAGTCAAAGTACGCTGATACTGGAATGTCTGTTCCTTTTCCCTGGAGAAGGTATCGGAGGTAGACCTGCAAAATTTGGTTCAAACAAAGCGATATCGATGAACAAAGCTCTACACAAGCTATGCATTTTGGATCAGAGGTGAGTAACACAACAGGTGGCCTGCAACCCCAACCTGGCTCACCAAGCCATTCAGTGTAGCCCTCCGTCAACACTGATTTTCCCTATTATTAAGCATAAAATCCTAATCCGACAGTTTATCTTTAACTTCTGTCACAGCTGATGTTATCAAACAATGAACTTGGAATTTCAAGTGTCCCACTAAAAATGTCGAATAAATAAGATTTTATTTATTTATTTTATTTTTCAAAATAAACTTACTACGAAGCAGTAATAAATTCCAGCAAATCCCACATAGTACGGACTAAGTATACAAAACACAACGTTGCAGGCATTGGCAGCTTCTCTATTGTTAGTTTGATCCAAAGTCGACACAATAATGTATGGTATGATGGCAGCCTGGTGATAATAGAAATTTTTTAAATATTGCATATTTTTAAAATGTTTGCATATTAAATATGTAGAAAAAATTGTCAAAAATTCTGACTGAAAATACTTTTATCCAACTTCACACAACACGAAAATCTTAACAACTTTTTAAGCAGTTTGTAACAAAGAAATAGTCCCCTAATATTTCAGCTGTTTTTGGAAGTACGCTTCCAGACAAGATAGCGAAGATTAATACTTAATTCCTAAAAAACTGTTATCCCTCAAAGTTACATCACACTATCTATGACATAAATAAAAATGATACGCCATGGTAAATGAAGCCACAATGAGTCAGTTGGGTAAATCCCCAAGAGTAAAAATACGGGGAAAATCTTCCATCATCAATGGCAAGAAAATGGACATTTTTTTCCATTTTTCATTCGACTTTCCTACTTTTACAATAAAAATTACCAGTTGCACTAATCCTGGCCAAGAAGCAGATACGGTTTCATATCTATCGAACAGGAAACTTCCACAATACGATGCTAAAAGACAAGCAACTCCCCAACCAAGTAGTAGTAGTATCTAAAAATGGAGTATAGCACAAAATATTATACGAAATATTGGGTACTCCTGAAGTATGCGTACCAAGATGTCGCATAACCTGATCCCTAATCTGATACACAAACTGAGTTCAGGTTGTGCGCCATCTTGGTGCGCATACTTCAGGAGGTCCAAATATTGTTTACTTTTTTTACTAATTTAGAACAACTGTATCTCGTATTGGCTTTTTAAAAAAGTGAGTTCCATACATATTAGTGACTGCCCGTACATGTGCGCATAAGAAGTGAAATTCATGTGAAAATGTCATAAAAAAATGAGAAAATTTAGAATTTTCAAATTATTTATTGGCAAAATCATAAAGTAGATGAAAATTTCTAAAATGAATGTCACTAAAGTTTTTTATCCATTTTTTTTGTAATAGGTGTATGTATTTCTTACCAAAGCTGCGATAGCTCCTCCATTATTCAGTCCAGTAACTTGAAATCCGACAATGCAAATAATGAATATCAAAGACATCACAAAATAAATGATGTAATCACTCAACAAAAAAGCAAACCAATAATTGATAAATTTTACTCCAGAAACCCGCAGTTGAGCTCGAATCTTTTCCTGAATATAAGAAAAAAGTAACCCACGGTTATCCAGCGCAATATTGAACAGAAATACTAACATATTCTTAATCAGACTTTGATATTTATAGATGGCAATTTCTAATGCGATTTCTATTAAAAAAATTCTGTTTTGATTGATTGTTTTACAAACCTCTCGTTCTTTGACAGGATTACTAGCTGCGAATGATGTCGATAATACGATTGCTATGGCAACCATCATAGCTGCACCAAATATGGAACCATTGAAAGTACCTTGCTGAGTACCTGGAATAAATAACACATCATCATGACAAGGGTTGGAAAGTCAGAATTTCGAGTTTAGAATGTTTTTATTGACATTGTGGTTTTGTAATCAAAATTGTGTTTTCCCAGAGTCAGGGATTGAATTTTTAAATTCTCTAAAATCAAATTTGCATTGTGCGGTGTGGCGCATCATGCTAAGCATTAGGAATACGCTCGCTACTGCACCTCTGATTTAGATGGTTATGTGCGAGAGGATTGCTGGACTCCTCGCTGCTGTAAGGTGGTTCACGTAACTGTTGGTCGGTTACAGCTTCCTCTACCAGGAAGTCTATGCTTCCGAAACAAATAACTGGATAACTAATCCCTTACCCAACTTGGACTGATGACTGGACGAGAGGACGTGGTTTGCCATATGGATAAGCCGTCTTAACAGCTTACAAATTTGTTACAAATTCGATAGTTTTTTGAAAACAAAAAGAGTTTTGCAGACAGTTCTTAAAAACCGAATAGAATATGGCAACCTTAAAGCATAAGAACTAAAACTTACCAACTTGGGGCCACTGTTTACTGTATGTAATGATGTTTGTAGGATTTCCACCATTTAAGAAAGATGTTAATGTGTTGGAGAATACATTGATAGCTGATGGTAAAGATCTTGTAAATGAAGTATTGTATAAAACAAGGTAAGCAGCCTGAAAAATGAATATAAACAATTTGAAAGGCGTTTTGAAGCCCTTTACTAAAACCAGCTTGTAGTATTGACACTCACGGCTTTATCGGCGCTCCAGAAATGTGTATACTAATATTTTACATCAAGTTGTGAAGAGGGACGAAAGCTTATAGGCAGGGGGTATATTTACTCAGCTAACACAGACAGTTCCCGAACTCGTAATAGAAATAAAATAAGGAAAATCGTAATAAAATTATGGCCTAACCCTAGCCTGGTACACACATTACAGGAGTACTATCTTATTTAGCTAATTTTTTGATTTTGCCTGAACATAAGCCTTCTTTGATAATATAAATTTTTCATAGATATGCTCGATAACTATCATTATTTACTGCATTCTTGTTCTTCATACAGAAGAGCAATGCTCGAATGTGCAAACATGAATCTGGAATGATTACAGCAATGACAGCAAAATTTTAGTTAAATGTTTAAAGAATTGTGTTGAATGTCAGAAGAAGATTCGTCTGTGAAATATTAGGCCACATATGACTCATCATGTAGGGAGTTCTTCAATTTTCAAATACTGAAAATTTTGTTTTAGTCTAATTAGTTCGACTGAGTTTCAATTTTCCACAAAACCACTAACCAAAAAGCAATTTAGCTAGTCGACCCATAGGTGTACTTTCTGTACTCCCATATTATGTGTACCAGGTTGGGGTCAGGCATAATATTATTATCATTTTTTCTTATTTTAGTTCTATTATGAGTTCGGGGACTGTCTGTGTTAGCCAAGTGAATATACCCAGCCAAGCCCATAGGCTTCCGTCCCTTTACACAACTTGATGTAAAGTAGGTGTACAAAATTAGTTACCTCCATATTGGTACACACGCTTCTGGAACGCCCTACTTTCATGTTCATTAAATGCATTTATACTCAGGAATACAGCATAATCTTATAAGTTTAGTATATCACAGATTTGAAAGCCAACATTTACCTGACTCGCTGCAAATGCACTGACTTGCAACCCAACAGAATGAGGATAAAAACCATCAGTAAGTAACACAGAGTCTGTCATTGTGCTTTCTTCAAACATTATTCCACTTTGTGCGTTGTTGACGAAGTTGTCCTTAGAAGTACCTGAAATATAGGATTCATTTTTAGCAAAAATGGGTGGTCAAGCGCAGTGGTTCCCAACCGACACACCAAACCTGTTGCACTCCGAAGAACCACAGAGCAGTTAAAGGGGGGCCACAATGCTAGGCTCAAAATTGATTTTACTTTTTCTTTTACGAGAAACTCCCCATTATTCCTAGTTTCATCGATTGATAAGATTAGTTCACAGGGTGTTTTAACTTTGTTGAACATGAATTGTTTGAACATAATGGGATTTGGAATCTACCAATTTAAATAAAACTATGAATACCCCTGGAATGATAAACAAGGGGGGAGGGCACGAGTGTTAAAAGCCTTCGAAAGGGGGCCACGAGCCCCAAAAGATTGGGAACCACTGGTCTAGCAGATGAAACGTTAGACTTTATTGATTTGGCATCAAAGCGCACACATCTAAGGTTCAAATGCAGAGCCTCATCTCGCACATGGTGTAATAAAATGAGACATGCTGAATAAAAAAAAAAATCTGGCTTTTCTAAAAACAGTAGCTTCCCACTTTATACAAAGTCTTGTTTGGAGCGAAAGACATGATCCATTCATAAAAATATCTTACCAGTTAATCCATTATAAAGAACACTTTTATCCTTGTAGGCTTCGAGATTATTTGCATAAGTAACGTCAATTAAATCTGGATCTCCAGAGTCACTCGCAGATGGTTGTTGAGTGAATAACCACGTACCGACAACTGAGAACAAATTAACGATTTGTTTTATTGAAATTCCTGTTTGATTGTTTAATTAAAGGAAGTTCGGGCTTTGCTTGATTCAGGAATTTACAACAAGAAGAAGTTCAAAGCAAAGATGATCTATATTATCGTATGGTTGATTACTGGATTGAGCAAAAAAGTAAAAAATGTAGTTACGGTACTGAGCAGGATAAATAGATCGAAATCATAAAGGTTCTGCAATATAAAAAAAAAGATTCGCGTTGACATAATCAGACATCAGACAAAAAAGTCCCTTGATTTTTAGTAAATTGGGGTCATTTCAGAGTTCAATGAAAAAAAAAAAAACAGGGCTGGTGATCCAATGTCATTCAGTGCCTTCTCTAATAAGTTAATTTTAAGAGATAACATTATAAATCATAATGGCACATAAACAGGTGTGGCAAGGAAGTTCAGGAAAATTCTGTATCCAGTTACACAAAAAATCCTGAAACACAGATAAGATAAAAAAAATATAAGCTACATACTTTCAAGAACCATTGGAAGCAGAATAGCAAAGATGATATAACCAGGATTGCGCAGATTTATCAGAAGAGTTCTTCTCATCATTTGTAATATAATCGATCCAGACCTTGATTCTCCACTTCCCTGTAAGACAGGATAATATGATTATAGTGAGATATAATTTTGGGGGAATTTTAACATTCAATGTTAATTTTTTTTCCTATTATACAGTGTTTTTTTCACACCCCCTGCTTCGAATGAAGCCCTGTACAAACGGCCACTGTTATGCAAGGAGTTACTATTTTTCAAATGACCGAAATCTTTCCAGGTTTGCCATTATCTACCCGATTTATTACACCATGGGTGAGGTGGTGAGCATAGGAATTGGACCCACCTGAGATAGCTAACGTACCAGCTAGGCCAGGGGTAGCCTGTGGGCCAGATCCCCCTACTAAAGTGTTTCATTCGGCCCACTTGTGCCTGCTGTATTTACGACTATAGCATTTATAGATATAAATTTCTATATATAAATTAACGATGTAAGTAACGTCATAATGACCCCCGATTGTTACTTCGTACTACTAATGATTATATAAATGTTAGCCTTGGACTAGCTTTGTAAATAAACTGTTTTTTCATATTAGGTTTTAAGCCCCGGCTCAGTAATCAAGTCTATTATCTGTAACTGGCCCACGCCCACTCAGAAAAGAATTAAATGACCCTAGATATACACGGTCAAACATCTCAGTTTCAAAACTCATGCCCACCACCTCGTCCATTGGAAATACTTCTCTCTACTGGCTGCTAAACAGTCTTGTTTAGAGTAAAAACACACCATGAGAAATTTTCAAAACTATTGTCACCATCTCACCTCACTTTGTGAAGGATCAAATATCGGTGGAGAATTTGTAACATTGATTGCAACTGAATCCCGGTCTTCGTTTGTTTCTGGAACAGCCAATGGGTTTGAATATCCTACACTTGCATATTTTTCCTTAGTGCCTAGAATATTTTACATGTTACTATAGAAACTAATCAAGATGAAAATCGAATACAATGGTAGGTACTCCTGTAGTACGTGAACCAGAATGACGGACACCAGAGCGTGGTATCAGGATTAGGCCAAAATTTCAGATACATTTACTACGAAATTACTTGACTAGTCCCGAACTCGTAATAGAACTAAAATAACAAAAATTGGAATAAAATTATGACCTAACCCTAACCTGGTACACATAAACATATTATGTTCCGATGTCCGCCATCTTGGTTCACATAATACAGGAGTACCCAATGGTATGTCTAACGATGGACTATATATGCTTATTAAAACTATTGAAATAGGGATATTAATAGAATTGGAGTATGTCCAAAGAGAGAGAATTGGAACCTAAAATTGCAGCTCCAAATTTATATTGAAGGAATATAAAATTTTTCTAAATCTTGAGAGTTTTAAAATGTATTGAAATTTCACGTTCTTTTTCGAAAATATGAGAATTTGATATTGCTTCCTTGTGTTAACGTGAATAACGTCACAGTTGATAAATATGTAAATATTGGCTATTTGCAAATTAACGGAATCTCAATATCATGGTCAAAAGAATACGCTATAATAAAGAATTCAATTTCAAAACGTTTGATAAAAAATAACTACTATTTTTGATTATTTTTTGATTATATAAAAATCAGAGTAAATGTAAATCAATTTATAATATATAAGGTGTCCATGAAGTTTTAAATTTTTTTTTTTATTGCAAAAGGAATTTATCGATACCATACATTGTTTTGGAGCTCACAGATGTATTAAATGAAGTAAATATACTTAAACAATTACTGATTGAAAAACAACAAACCTGGTAAAGATATAATGAGAATTGACTTAAAAAACAAAATTGAAATTGTAAAGGGCCTTCATGGACATCTTACTTATTGTGTAAAGAAATATTTAATAAAAAAAAAATATAAGAACTACAGTGTTTTGAGGATGAACAATACAGGATGAAGTGCTAATATCTATACATTAGGGTTGGCAAAAACAGCAAGCCTCACCACAAGTTAATATTACCTGAAGTAGTTAAGTGTTTTAAGTTTTTAAATATCGAAGCAGAAATCAAAGCAAGATGAAGCATTTTGTTGCATATTGTATTTATCCTTGCACAATATGCTTGCGATTTTGCTGTTATATCGACTATTTAGTATAGCTTTTCCTTTTTTGAATAAAAAATAAAAAAAATCATTTGTATGTATTTTAGGAATAGTGGTTGCGCTCTCCTGTAGTCAAGGGATAATGGCAACTGTTCTTATTAGTTAAAATAAAAAAGCATAAACATAAAGAAAGTTAATTTATGGTTTCTCGATTTGCATGTTAGTCAAGGAATCATGCCTGTCTTGTGGTTTTAATCAACAAAGAAATGTTACCGCCTTACCGGTAATTAAAAATTGCATTTTATGATTTTTTTCACACAAAATTCAAATTACTTTTGCAAATAATTCAGGCACAATCTTACCATTTTCATCTGACATGAGTGATTGAAATGCTTCTACATAACAGAACAATTATGCTAGACTTACTCTACGTGTATTTGAATTAGGACGAATGTGTGCTTTTCTAACAGTGATTTACAATTGGACTTTTTAAAATAAAGAGAACATCATGGTTTAAATATTCTAGTTTGTCCAAATGTCATAAAAAATCCACAAACTTTGAAATATTAATATAAATTTACAACATCCTCCACCAAAAGAGTTCATAGTTCAACTTTTCATTCATTAGTCACCGCCATTCGAGGTGATATCCATTAATTATTAGGATATAGAAATTACAATATCATTTCTATTTTTAATAATGCCAAAATTAGTGTAAACTTCTATATGATGTGAAAAATATCTTACCATTATCATACGTTCTGTATGTTTCTGAGTTAGAGATACAAAATAAAAATTACCACAAATACATTCAGCTATTTAATAGGTCAATATAAACCCTTGCTTGTATTTTTATGGGAGGATTCAGAGGTTCACTCTAAGTCTAAATAAAGGACCTGACAAGCCATTTCAGAAAGTATAATAGTGAGATAAAAAAGCTAGAATATGTGATGTCCCCCTCAATCCATTGCACCTTAGATAATAAGGTGGTAGATTCGAGATTGAACCAAAAATATCTTAGCATATCATAAGTTCTTTTTAAATAAATGAAATTATATATACATATTCCAATTTATTTATGCCAAAACAGAGGATTTGTAAGTTGTAGTCTTCATACAATGTTTGGCAATTTTTAAATAAATCAATGAGTTGTTATCCTTATGCGCTTTACTTGGCAGCAATGCAAGCAAAATTCTGGGCGCTTCCGAAGTGTGTGTACCAATTTGGACGTAACTAATTTTGTTCGGCTCCCATACATCAAGTTGTGTAAAAGAACTGAAACCTATGGGCAGGGGGTGTATTCACTTGGCTAACACAGACAGTCCCTGACTTAATAGAACTAAAAAGGGAAAATCGGAAAAAAATTATCACCTAACCTGGTACACACACAACGAGAGTACCCAACGTTTTTATATACCATAAAAAGTGATTACATTTCCAATACAAATTCAACTGGTTCTCCAAAATCATGTTTCAGATTCAAGGGCATGACTGTTATCTTTTGATTCAGCATTGCCTACCCAATTTATTACACCCTGATTGTTTAGTACACCCAGATTGAAGTGTTGGACATGGAATTTGAATCCAGCACTTATAACATGCAATTCCAAAGAATTCCACTTACCAGTTTGTCCATTTCCCTCTTCATCCACGTCATCGTCTTCACCTATTTTCAAAAAAACTTCTTCCAGGGTTGTCATGGAAACACCGTAACTTTGAATATTCAATTCATCTTGACGTTTATCAAAGTCAGCAAATAGTTCTGAAAAATTAATTTTAGCAATAATCGTTGAATATTAATTAGTGGATGGGAACTGTCAAGGCTGTGAAGTCTGTGTCAATACTGAAGTCAGTGTCATTTTACCAGAACTCTAAAAATGATTTGAGTTCATAAAAATTTATCAACATACAATTAACGAAGGCTCGCATATGCCAAAGTAGTTGTCACTGACTTCAAGGTCGGAAGTCGGAGTCAAAGTTATAACGGAGGTCGAAGTTTAATCCAATTTTTAAATTGCTTTGAGTTTGGAGTCTGGTTTGAATTTTCCAACCCAACAGTCCTGGCTATTACCCTTTCCTTACCTCCTATCCTATCAATCACTCTGTAATATCCAATTTAAGCAATGCTTTATATTTATGATGACTTTGATCATTTTAATAAAGCAATACAGAGTTTAATAATACAGACAGTAATAAAAAGAAAGAGTACAATGGAAGATAAAACCAAGCTAGAGTTACCTGAAAATTTAGACACTTGATTTAATGGCAATGTATAAACATGTTCCATTCCAACAGATCTTTGCAATTGAGCATCATCGATGTGAGTATTCACACAGGAACCAATTCTTGTTGCATCTTCTGGTGATTTTGAGACAACGCTGGAAACAAAGATAATGTTATCAATTTAGATATAAGTAATAAATAAAGTAGTAGATGGCTAGCATATCAAACCTGGGCTATCTTATTCTTGACCAGACCAACCAAACATTGACCGTGCAAACTCAACATTGGCCAAGCTGATCAAACATTGACCGTGTTGACCCAAAAATGACCATGCTGATAAAACAATGACCATGCCAATTAAAATTAATCCTGAGGACCAGAAATTGACCATTCCGACTTAACATTGACCATGCCCATCGAACAATGACCATTCTGGTCATACATTGACCATGCGCACCAAACATTGACCAAGCTGACCAAACACTGGTTGTGTTGACCAAGCTGTCAAAACAATGACCATGCCGACCATGCCAAGTGCAGACCAAGTAAAAGTTATGCAGACCAATAGATATAAGATCAGAGTCAAAATAGACTACAAACTGTTCACCATCTCAACCAAATATTATCGTTTTGACAACTTTAAATTTTTCTTACCCAAGATGATATCCGCAACCAAATCTATTCTTCAAGAACAATGACGAGCCAACACATCTCAACTTCCCACGGGTAAGAATGGCTTTGCGATCTAAAAAATAAATATGATTAAGGCACTGCTTTTGAATTTGAAAGATGAAATGACTGCTTTTGTGGAATATACAACGGTAGAAGTATCTGAAAATTTTAGTTAGGTATAACACTCTTGACCACAAGGCCAACGGGCTTTCCATACTCCTGTTATAAAAATGACAAAACATGGCATAAGTCTATTTATGGCTAACGATCACTATACCTGCAAGTATATCTGCTTCGTCCATAAAATGAGTAGTTAACAAAGTAACTCGATCCTCACGATGAGATCGGAGTAAATCCCAGAGTTTGCGTCGAGAATATGGATCCATTCCAGCTGTTGGTTCATCAAGAATAAGAATCTGAAAATTATAAAAAAAAATCATTAGAAAGAGTTATTGCTCAACTTTCACTGATTAAAAATTTTCGGGTAATATAGAAACCTTAGGATCTCCCAATATTGCGATTCCAACCGATAATTTCCGCTTCTGTCCGCCAGAAAGTTTCTTAGCAAATGTATCTCTCTGATCATGTAGTCCAACAACATTGATGACTCGTTCCATCTACAAGTAGAATGAAATAAAAATAAAAATTGGGATTTATGCACAGTTATGGATTCGGAGAAAATTTACAATTGGTTAACTCAGACTCCATGCTGGAAAAATTTGTAGAAAATTTCGACTACGTCACCAGTTTAAGCAGATTTGATAACAATAACTTTGGCTTATGCAAGCTTTCTTTATTAATAGACTGTTAAAAACTCTGAATAAACTCGATGCTTTTTTAGGTTTTGTTAAATTAAAAATTCCCTTTATCATCACTGAAATTCTGTAAATACAACAAATTTCTAATTTCAACACCAACTTAGAATAAAAATGAATAAAAGGGGCTCAATGCAGAGCCTTGTAGATCGTAAAATTTACAATTGATTGCGGGTCGGTGTTGAAGAAAATTGGGGTTGAAGAAAATTTGTTCAGACTCAGTGTTGTAAAAAATTTTTAGTCCGACTCGAGCCTCCAAGAAAATGAAATTTTTAATCAACACTGAAATCTCACAAATATGCCTCTGACAAATTCAGAATTTTGACCCAACTAGTTTGAAAATACAATCCCGGCTCTGACCCAATGAAAGCAAGCAAAACCCCTATTCAAAATCCTGAATCTACAGCTCTGGCGCTATGACAGGCAATTTGACTTGCTGATTGGGGTGGTCGACAACAACAATTTGGCAAAGTGATCCTTTGGAGACTTTTGAGTCTAAAAACAACTATTATACCTCGGCCACAGCCTCTTCTCCAGTGTATCCTTTGAGCCCTGCAAAAACTTCTAAATGTTCTTTCACAGAAAGAAAATCTAATAAAATATCATGTTGCGGACAAACACCAGTCATTCTGCGTATTTCTTCCATGTCATCTAAATTTTTTACATCGTATCCATAAACCGATGCTGATCCTGAGGTCGCAGGGACAAAACCTGCAAAAAAGCAGCTATCAGACAAATACAATTTACAGCATACAGTACAGTTGCGAAGACTCTAGAAATTAACTAAAGTCATGTTGCTCAATGACTAAGTTACTTGAGTGAACTGACTGGACCCATACTCAGTTAATCACCAGAAAGACTTGACTTGGGACATAGAAAAAAGTTTTGTCTAGCTAGTCTTTAAAAATGCAAATTCCTGTAAATTAGGTCGGTTTAATGTAAGATGGAAATTTTCATGTTATCGTGTATATGTGACTCTGGAATTCAGCATTTGTGACTTGGCTTGATGCTCTGCATTTATAGACTTCAACACTAAGTATAATAACAGTTATCGATCGGCAGATTAAAAAAGGTGACACAAACAAAGAATGGTACTCCTGTATTATGTGTACCAGGTTTGGGTTAGGCCATAATTTTATTTCTATTTTCCTTATTTTAGTTCTATTAAGAGTTCAAGGACTGTTTGTGTTAGCCAAGTTAATATACCCCCTGCCCATGGGTTTCCATATCTTTACACAACTTGATGTAAAATAGAAGAACAAAATTAGTTACATACATATTGGTACATACTTCTAGAGCGCCCAAAAAAAAGGTACAAAAAAAATTATAATTTCATACCTGTAAGAATATTGAAGATAGTGGTTTTCCCAGCTCCGTTGTGGCCAAGTAAAGCCATAATTTGACCTTTGTATATATCGAGACTGAACCTTTGAACTGCAACAGTAGACTTTGATGACTGACCGAAGATTGCAGATTTTTTAAAAACTTTTCTTATGTTTGTCATGCTGTATTATAAAACGATATAAACGATTTTCACATGTGAATTGAAAAAAATTGATTATATTAATACTAAAAAAATTTACTTTCAGATAATAGGCTCTTTTAATGCTCCATTTTGCTTTTGATTTAGATTTCAAAAACTGCGTATAAATTTAGCAAAATTAGCAAAACCATAATCATAAAATTTCACTTTGATAACATGATTTCAATTTAATTTATTCATTCTTCTCGCAACAAACAAGGCGGCCACCGATATCTAGTGATGCAACAAACAAGGCGGCCACCGATATCTAGTGATGTGTAAAATGCTACTATTAGTGAAGGGACCAATATCTACAGCACTGCCTACCCAATTTATTCCCCATTTGAAGAGGTGATGGGCATGGGATTTCAGACAGAGATATGTAACAGTTGAGTTTAAACCATTAACTGACATGATTTATCTGAAAAACCAGAAAAAATTGGGACGACTTTATAAAAAAACAATAGGCTAATTTACAGATGCTGTCAACCTACTTTTTTCCTAGCTCAGCTAGAATTTCTGATTCCTTGCTAATGCCAATTGTTGCTATAGCAACTGGATAAAATTTGAAAAGAAAACTTACGAAATAGCTTCATTGCCAATCTGGTCTGGTGACACAGGTTCAAAGTCATGTTGTGAATATCCCTCGAATGGTTCCCCGCTCGTTGAACGTCTTGATAATGCACGATCACGAGACAAACCTCGTTGAGATCTGCTCCAGTATGAAGGTTTGAAACAGAAGAAAGGTGATTTGCGTTGACCATATTCCCCTGAAATATAGGATAAGATTTTCGTATTTACTTTAGAAAAAGGTAATTTAATCATATGTTGGAAGTAAAGAATAGAAAGTAGTATTCTATTTCCGAATCTGATTGCATATTTGGACTAACTACAGGATAAATTGGGATTAAATGATTCTAAAAAACCAAAGTATGAATAAAGTTAGCAGAAAAAATATGATTCTTTCATAAATTCACACATTCAAATTCTGAAATTGCTTCAAAGTGATGTGGATTCTAAACTTAATCCACAGCCAAATTCAGGTAGTAAAAAAACAGATAACATTTACGGTATGATGCATACACTTTGCTAGTGAAACAAGCCATGGGAAGACCAACTGTTGTGTAAACCAACCTACGACGCTGAGAAGCTCGTATGTTTTCTGATACTGAGCAAAGTTGCTTATACAGAGACTTATTCTAAGCGCAAAGGGCCATCAAAATATAGAATAAAAATAAAATTTGTCTTTGAAACAAAGAGTAGGCACATGCACATGAATTTTAGAATAATAGGTTCAAAGCAATAAATAATAACAAACCTGGAACCACACTATCAAGATATAAGGTCAAGAAAAAATAGAGAAAAATATCAACAATCATCATAACAAGTCCAATATAAAGGGGTTTTGGTCCTTCTGCAATGTTGTAAAAATGAGCTCCTTGGCCGGTAACTTCGAACAGGAAGACCTATTATGATAAAATATGAATTTTATTATAATCAGCTTCTTGACGCTCCGAACAAGGCAGTGGATAAGCTGCCACTGATATAAGAGTAGCTATTATTTTGTGGAAGAACCAGAAACTTTACGGTTCAACATTGCCTAACCGCTTTATTACCCCTTGGTGAGGTTGCATTCTTCACTTAGTAATATTGCAATACATATTTAGGCGCTCCAGAAGTGTGTGTACCAATATGAAGGTAACTAATTTTGTTCGCCTACATTACATAAAGTTGTGCGAAGGGACTGAAACCTATGAACAAGGGGGTATATTCACTTGGTTGACACAGACAGTCCCCGAACTCGTAATAAAACTAAAATAAGGAAAATCGAACTAAAAGTATGGCCAAAGCCTAACCCTAACCAGGTACACATACTACGGGGTACCAATATTTATGCAGTGGACTTTTCGAACTACACAAAATCCAGATTGCGCGTTACTAGGTGATGGTCTAAAAAAGCCCTTATTTTGTGCAGTTAGGAAGAATTAGAAGTTGCAAATTGCAATATAAGCAACGGAAGGATGTTATTTTCACAAAGAAGAATTCATATTTCATTTCAATCAAACTTTACGGTTATAAAGATGTGTACTCTTTCAAAAATAAATTAAAATGAAATTTTTTCATAATTTCTAAATTTAGGACGAATTTGGATAAGTTGTAAAAATATTAAAACACTCATCTTCAAAAGCTAATTCTGTTTATTGTGATATAAAAGAAGCGATAAAAAACATCAAACGTCAAACGTCTAAAAAGGAACAAAATAAACCTATTCTATTGTTACAATTATTTACATATCGTAAAAACATTTCTATGGGTGAAAAGTAAAGAGCGTATTATAATTTTATAAAATCTTTTGTGAAAAACATCAGACGTCTAAAAAGGAACAAAATAAACCTATTTTATTGTTACAATTATTTACATATCGTAAAGCATTTCTATAGGTGAAAAGTAAAGGACGTATTATAATTCTATAAAATCTTAAGTGAAAATTCGAAAAAATTTGAGTTTTGATTTAAGTTATCTTACTACCTGAAAATTTATACCCAGAATATAAAAAAATCAGAAATTTGATTTCTCTCTTTTTTTCTAATAATATGATACAATAGAGCAGCGTTCTCAACTGGGGGCCCTCGGCCCCCTAAGGGGGCCACAGAGGAGTTGGAGGGGGGCCACAAGGATGGGCTGAAATCTGAATTTACTATTCACTTTAAAAGAAATCTCAGTTTTTCCTAGTTTGCTGCTCAACAAAGTTATTTCGCAGGGTGTTTTCGCTCTCCTTTGTGCAAATTGTTATAACATATTTACTTTTTTATGAAAACTTGCTCCTAAAAATTTTAAATCTTACCCTAGAACAGTCAAAATTTTGGAGAAAATATTTACAAAAATAAAAAATAGGACAAATGTGTAGTAAATATACCTATAAACCAAGAGATCAATAAACTAATAAAAAATGACATACCAGGAATAAAAGGCATCATAAAATATCATTGTAGTTACGTACTAAGCGATATCATGTATTGTCCGATTTACACGATTTGTTTTAAACAGATTGCAAATATTTACTCATTGAGATGAGCTAGGGTTTTTTTCAAAGCAAGAGAGTAATGTTTAAATATAGGTTTTATAATGAATATATAAAAACAGATTTTTCATGCCCCAGAAATACGCCCCAACAAATAATAACAATGATTTAGAAAAACAATTCGCATGCATTTCGTGTTCAATTAAACAACTCGAAACTCAAATATAAGATTGAGACTGCACCAAACTTTATTGTGAGGTAATTCAATTTGGAAACTGAACAACGACAGAAGATAGTTTAAAAACATAATCCGATTCATGTTACGTGTAATGTGTTATTTAATTTTCAAATGATATGAGTCACTGCATTACAGTGAGAGGGAACTTTGTTGGAAATATTCCACAAATTTTCTCCAAATCAGGCTTTGAACAAGTGCACTTGGTGTACATGACAACTGCTATGTTTACAAGAGCGTGTACAGTATGGCATATTCCAACCAAGTTATGTCCAAATGATAAGGGGTGGTGGATATGAGACTGTTAAACCAATTTCGTACCACTAGTCCAATGTGACTTACGAAAAAAATGGCAATGTGTGGCAGTTATAGTTATTTGATGTTGGTCATATACCCCACATGATTCACATGATCGCAATATCACATGAATTGTAGCTTCGGGACGTGTACACAAACCATGTGATTTTACCACTATTACTACTATAATAAAAAGGAATTTTTCTCAATAAGTCAGTATTAAACTAGATGCATACATCGTGAACTTTAGAATCTTTAAATTCATCCAAAATCAATTTTAGATGAAATTTTTTTATACAGCGCTTATTCCAAACTAAGCTATTTACAAGAAGCTACTAAGAAAGCTACTACTACTGTAAGAAGCGACCTGAGATGCCAAGATAAGTCTAAGACTTTCAATTGCTACACGATTCCATAAGTACACTGCAGGGCGAAATCATAATTTGTGCCAATTTCGACTTCGTTAAATTTATCAACAGTAATGTTAAATTTCACTCACTCTAATTTCATGCCACTCTAATTACCTTCCCATCAGTAGTTTACTCAAATTATGGTTAATTTCTAATGTTAATATTCTAATAATAAATAAACTTGAATACTAAAAAACATTGCAATATTAAACTCCATTTCAGTAACTACAAAAAGTAATAAACCAAAACGCACCTTCCCCATCGCAAATGAAAAAGCTGTAGGAGAGAGTAGAGAAACTGCCCAAATGGCAGGTTCAGGAAAATCGCCTGCTAATTGGATTGCGAGAAACACAAGCGACATAATAATGGAAATAAATCCTCCAACAGCTCCTGCTGTTCTAGCTTTACTGAAGAATGGTGTGAGCATGAATCCAAGCATTTCCTAGAAATATAAAGAGTGAAATTAGTGATGATTTCTTCGACTAATAATTTGACCACAATAATTTTGAGTGCATTGCGAAATATCAATTGCGTTATGTGTATTTCTAAACTTTCCATAAAATGATGAAATTTTTAAAATTAACATTGAGAGGGAGAAGAGGATACTCAGCCCCTATCGCATTAATTACGGTACTTGTTAGGGTCGATCGAGTCCTTGACTCGAGTAGAACTGGACTTATGTGACGTCCTCAATAATGAAGACGTGAAGTGACTTTAGGTTATCTAGGAATGGATGTTTCCCCGTGGCACGTGGTTGTATATTAATAAAAATAATGATTTCGAGCATGTAAATCAGTTTGTAGGTGCCAACTCTCCAAAACACACGCAACATAGCAGACAAAATTTTGCAATAGTAAAATATAGAGAGAATTTTGTTGGGGTCAAGGGTCGGGGAAACATCTATAGGAATCGTCACTAACTAACTTTCAGTGAGAATTGACTCCATGGTTGACCCGACTCAACTAAACCTGACCATTACCCATGGGAAGAAACCTTATTGAAAAATGTTTAATCAAATTTAAACAGCACTCACTCAATCACTCATACTCCCTCACGATTCACGAGTTATAAAGAAAGAACTCACAATTCTAAGTTCGTATATGAACATATATTTAAAGAGCACTCACTCAATCATCTGTATTCTCATATTACTCAAAGTAATAAAAAAACAACTCACGATGCTAAGTCCGTAGATAAAAAAGAGGAGAAAGACAAGAAAAAAATTGCTGAGTGGAAACAAATTCCCAAAATATCCAATGAGTGTCATAACTAAAGTCATCACAAACAACGATGCAACATAAACCGTTCCCCACGAAAACCTGCAGAAAAAAAATAAAATGCGTAGGTCATAAATTACTCTAATTTGGATTGACCAGAATCATTTCATATTGCGTTACACCTTACTTAAACGCAGTCACTAGTTTTTGAAAATAGCCTTTAATTTTGCTGTGATATGAAAATGAATAAAAATTCGTAAAACTTCATTGAACTTACCAATAAGCAAGATCACTAAGTCCCATCATTTTCATCCCTTCCTTGATTTTCTTTTCCTTTTCATAAACGACGAAAACTAGCAAGAAACTGGAAAAGTATAAGAATATGAAAGTTTATCACCAAGAACATGCCAGTAACATGTAAGTAACATAATTAAAACAAGACAAATCGTTAGAACGACACGCCCGTGACAAGTAACATATCCAAAACAAATCAACAATAAATCTCACCCTCTTTTCTTGTGACCATTTCAAATTACTCGTATTATTCTAGACAACTGGTTCTCAACTGGGCAACAGAAACAGGTGGGCCACAAATCGATTAAAAAGGGCTAGACTTATTGATAAATTAGTTAAATTTGATTGTATAGGAAATGAATTATGAAGCTGTTTTATAAAACTAAATAGTGATTTTTCTATCTATGTAAGTAAGGAGTCTATCTATTTTTTGTTTTTCTTGTAGTTTATCCCTTACATGAGAAAGGTAATGGGTCACAGATTATTTTTGTGCAATATAAGTGGGCCATGAAAAAAAAGGTTGGGAAACACTGTTCTAGACTATCATTTTTACTCACGTTAAAAACGGTCCCATTGCTATAACGAGGTACAGAGGCCCAATGATAAGGAAAGCATCAGTGTTTGAAAGAGTTGCATCTTTTGGCATTATTCGAGCTGATATTGTCGTTGAGGTAAAGTTCGGATCAATTGTCTGAAGAATTATTAAAATATTTTAGATTTTACAACCAAGAATAAAATAACATAATCCCAAATCGCACTTTAATAAACTTTGAAAACTTAGTAGCTAAAAATTAAAAAAAAATTTTTGAAGATTTTCGTTTACAATTTAAAAGATCAAAAGAAAATCAATTCTCCACATTTAATTTTTAACATTGTATATCATTCAAAAATAGGAGTCTTGTCAACTTCCAGCAAGCTTTTAAAATCTGATTTAATTCACTAAATTTAAAATATGATAATGCATTGCCCAAAATACAAAAGAAAATGTTGATTATAAATAAGCACCCCAGTTCATAAAGTGTTACAAAAATATCTATAATTCATGAAAGGACTGCTCTTTACCTTTGCAATCATTGTATCAATGGCCATCTGTAAACCGGCAAATCCAGAGAAAAGATAATTATTTGCTGGACATTGAAACGTGTCGCTTCCATTTCCTTGCCTACAATTTGCTGCAAAAACAATGATATTGTTAGTTTATTTTCTTCAAATGGTATTTTGCAAGATGAAATGTTTTTATCGCCTTTCCTCTCCCCAATGATAAATATGAAAATCCTATTCTATCTTACACTGTGAATATAGATGCGTTTGAAGATTATTGTAAATTTAGTCTATCACAAAATACAAAAATATGGTAGAGTATGTAACAGTTTTTCTTGCTAATAAAATCTGACATCTTGCAACATTTCGGCTAATTATTACAATTATTACAAATCTAAAATCTGACATTTTGCAACATTTCGGCTAATTATTACAATTTTCGAAACGACAACTCCAAATTCCAACTCCAGAGAATTTGAAAATATGACTAAAGCTTGAGTGGGATTGTGAGCACATGTCAAAACTTGATTGTGACCTCACAGCCCTTGATATAACCACAATTTACCATGCATAAATGAAGTAAAAAACAATTTAAAAGACAACACAAAATCAATCGAAATAAATTGATTTGAAATTCCTTCCACAGGCAAAAAAAGAATACAAGCAAAAAGGCTTATTATATAATTAGACACAGTTAGTCCAAAATCCTTTTTTTTTCCAAAGTTTTCAAATTTCAAAAAATAAACATACATTGTGAAAGGTCTACGAAGCTATCACCAATTCTCCCGAAAGGAAATCGAAGAGCATATTGTCTAATCGTAGAATTTTGAAATAAAATTCCAACTGTTGTCCCTTGTTCAACTGATGTCAGATTTTTATAAGCTGTATCCATTGCCGCCTGTCGAAAAATATAATAAAAGTATCAAACAATATCAAAACAATATAAGTATCAAAATATCGATGATGCTGGCATGTACCAGTTCAAAAAACGACGCTCAAGAAGTATGTGTACCAATATGGAGGTAACTAATTTTGTTCGCCTACTTTACATCAAGTTGTGTAAAGGGACTGATTACTTTGGGCAGGTTGTTTATTCACTTGGCTAACACAGACAGTCCCCGAAGGGGAAACTTGGAATAAAATTATGGCCTAACCCTAACCTGGTATACACACTACGGGAGTACCCAAAAAACTTGTCTCAACCATACTAAAGCGTATAATCAAGTAGGCAGATCTGCATTTATAAAACCATCATTTTCCATTCTTTTGCTTATCAATTCTGAAATCAGTTCTTATGTTTTTACACACAGTTCTACAAAAAATACCAAATAATTCATGACTAAATCAGATTAAAAAGAAATTTAGGAAATTACCGGTAGTTCAATTGAAATTCTGAAGTCTATTATTTTTTAAAAATGTAATATTGTTCATAATATTTCAAAATATTAAAGGCATTGCCCTTCCTAACAGGGCAATGCACGAAGACCATGATTCAATTTTTTTAAATAAGGAAATATGATCAAAGCAAAATCGCGCCGCCCCCACTCGATCATTTCAATATGATCAGGAAAACAGCTATGAAGTTCTTGGAAAAAAATTTGAGTATAAAACGATAAACTAGTGAGAGTTCCCAGCCCATTAATTTAGGATGACACAAAACTTTGTCTGTGACAAGTTACATCGACGCAACACCAAATATAACCTAATCATTTTTGACAGCCTTTTTTGAATATGGTCTAGCAGGTTAGGTATTGTAAAAAAGGCTAGCCCAAATATGACAACAGTAATGTAATAATGTAACAACTATGTATGAATGTATCAGTGATTCGTACAAGTGAAGGGACTAAAAAGGTAGGTAGGTATCACAAAACCGGACAAGTCTGGTTGTTTCGGAATTCAGATAATCTGCAAAGGCGAAATCTTAAATATTTAACCATTTGGGCATCGTGGTATCACATAATATATTTGCAATCATGATCTTACCTGAGAGTCAAAGATTTCATAGCTCAAGGATGGAAGTAATCCAGAATCATTCAGTGATTTCATAAACCTGTAAAGCAATTGGTTGACAGAATGATTATATCAAAATATGTACAATGCAAATTAATTATCATCTTTTCATCGCATGAGACAGGAAAGTGTAGAAGAGGAAGATTTATATGCTACTCTAGAAAAAGTTTTGATATCAGAAATATACCCCAGTTCAAAAAATGTTTCGTATCTGTTGGAAATTTTGACTTTTGACCACTACTACTCTACTTAGTCATTTTAATTTGTTCTAATACATGGGCACACATGTGGAGAACAACACAACTAACCAGCGGTAATATAAAAACCCAATATTCAACGCCGGATTTCAATAATCGGTGCATCATACATTGCAAATATTTCGAAAACATAAAAATTGGTAACTTTCAAACATATTTACTAAATTCCATTAAGTTTTAGGTTGTTTTATCATTACAATAGTAATATTTCCTTTTCTTAAACAAATATTGGCCAATTGGTAAACCAAACCAACTGCTAAACATAATTGCTTATACTTACGTTTGAGCTTCAACAAAATTTGGGGCAGTAAAGATCGTTCGCAGGGTCGGAGGAGGAGATATAACAGTTGTAGCTATATCTGATGACGGTATCGCTGGTAGAGCAACAGGTTTATAAGCAAATGACTTCAATACAGCAAGGAGAACAACAAAGTAGATTGGCATAAACACTTCCTGAAATACAATCGGAAAAACTTGTTACAGAAATTGTGTGAAATGAAATTTTTAAGCTAATAATACCATTCCTATTATCGGGGTTGGGTAGAAATTCCTGAACCCAAAGTCTCGAGTCGAACCGAATCACTGTTAGGATAGGATTTACATATTTATCCTGAGGGAGAGGAATCCAGCATCTTCTGGCACATGACCATCCCCTGGGATAACCATAACTATGGGATTTCAACTTGCCAACCTACATAGGGTAATCAGAGGTGCGGTGGCGAGCATATTCCTAACGCTTAGCACAATGCGCCACACCGCAAAAACTTGTTGAAAATACTTGGATGGAACGTAATTAATGAATTAAATGAAAAGTTTGAAAACAGGCACAATTTGTTGCTATTTTTATTAGTGCAGTCGTTTTTGACTGACAGAATAAGAAATGTAAATATCCAAAATAAGGCAGACAAAATAAAATCAAAGATTATTTTATTTTCAATCACTGTAGCTTCACGCCCCCTCAAAAAATTGTCTACGCCCACTTGTGGGTTGCGCCCCACCATTTGAGAACCACTGCTTTAAACATTCAAATGATAATTTGGTGATGAGCTTATGGCCAACTTCAGCATAATTAATACCAAGATAATCTAGCCCTAGCAAGCTGGTGAAGATGCTGCTATTTCTCACTCATGGTGTTTTCCAAATTAGGTTGAAGCTAAAGCAGACTGGAGTGAACTAGACAAAGTTTGTTTAGTTGATTAACGTTGTGTTATATAGTTTTCACAAATGTTATTGCTATATTCAGTAGATTTCGAATGAGCCATTTGCTTGAACAAAAAATATTCCTGAAAAATATAGAAAATCACTAATAATCCAGTATTATACACACAAATTCTATAGTGCCTAATTAAAATGTTATAGTAATTAAAAATATCAAATACCTGAATTGTAGCTTGTTTAATTCTGATTTTTGCGATAAAATTTCTCTTTATGAGAGTGACAGTTTGCCGCCATATTGTTACTTCAGGCGGCATGATAATTATATTAAGAAACCTAAAATTAAATATATGTGACAAAATACAGAAATAAAATATATATAGTGACTGTTAAAGACAAAACGATCGTGACGCAGACATGAAAAAGATATTGATAAAATATTGATTTCTGTGATTGATAACTTCCTAAACTAATGGATAGGGTTGGATTTTCAAATTTATGTCAGGGAAAAGGAAAGTCAGTATGACAGCTTAATCATATGGCGAACCACAGCCCGTCATCCCGTTAGTAGTCCATGCTGGGTATGAGAATTGTATCCAGATATTTGTTATCTATAATTTTTGTGTGCCAGTATTCTATTGTCATGTTCCTCTGTACTAGATTTGTTATGTTATGATTTGGAGCCAACCTGATCATTCAAGAAAAAAAACTCAACATATTCATATTCGGAAAAATCTGATTCAAAATTTTTTAAATTCGAGATTCGATTTGAAAATATAATATGCAGAAGTTAGTTATTCAAAGATTTGTTCTCTCCAGATCCTGTAAGCCATATATATACATATATTTTATCAAATACTGGTCGTCAAAATAAACTAATATTTACCATACCAGTATACCGTACCATACTTTTTTGGAATTTATGGGTTGCTCGCTAGCTACAGAGCTAGATCACCTGGCGGAATCAATAGCTCAACTGGTAATAACTGTTTAAATGCCCTGCAGCGTTGCTACTTTTTGAATGAAAAAGTTTTGAATCGTTCTCCTATTTTATTCTTTTGCTTTAATCACGGTACGGGTACCGGTACTTTTCATTCATAGCCACAAACAAAACATCTGTAGTCACATGCTGTGTACAAATATGCGAATCCCGTGCTTGGCCGCAATTCTGTAAAATTACCATACGAGTTATAAATTTCTTTGCTCGTCAATGACTTTGTTTCCTTATTATCTCACTCCACATCCCCACACTTTTCTCATTGTGTTTCTTTTTGTAAATCGCTCACTCGTTGTTTTCCTCAAGTCATGTGCTCACGGAACACGTGATCTGCGTAAACACACATTTATTTTCTCCTTTCAGAACAATTGTTTGTTTTTTTCTCCTCATATTGTCGCTGAACGTTGTTCAATCATTTTTAGTTTAGGAATGAGAATGTCAGCGCTCTGAAAATGACAGCTGTAGCTTCATAAAGAACACAAGCTCGAGCTAAATACCACTAGACTTAGGTCAAACTATCAAAATATTTAAAAAAAAAATAAGGAAATATAGCATCACGCGTCTTATTAGACCTTAGTCATACAAAAACCCGCCGCCCATGAAAAAACATAAAGTGGCATAAACAAACATTTTCGATGCTAGGTCTCGCGGGGAAAGTGGTCACAGGTGATGGGATGTCAATATTTATTTGTCCAATCTTATCCCGAGGCATAGATGTTTAAAAACACAACTGCCAACGTTCAGCTTACTTGAACAAATAACGAATATTGGGTACTCCCGAAGTATGCGCACCAGGATGTCGCACATCCTGAATCCTAACCTGGTACAAAACCTAAGTTCAGGTTGTGCGCCATCTTGGTGCGCATACTTCAGGAGGTCCGAATATTGTTGTTTCTGTATAATACCTATTTATATACCGTATATGCTTCTCAGTAGTGGGCTTTTCATACCATTTTCATATCTCCTGATTCTGTAATCAGTTATATTTATTTGTCCCTAACCGACCAGATGTTACGAGAAGACTACCGTACGTTACTGTACGATTGCAAGGAGTCCAGGGAGTGGGTGCGGGACCCCAGCCCCCATTTTTCAATGTAAAAAAATCATTTTTCTGTGTATACATAGCACATTTTTGTAGCTTGAAAACCTTTTTATTCGTCAGCGAAAATTTCTGCCTGAGCCCAAATTACAGTAATCGTCTCGCACCTGCCGACCGATGTGGCATGGGTGGGGTGTAACAGACTTTGGGTGAAGATTGAAAAGATGTACCATTTCATAAACGGTTGAGGGTTCCAACATAGGAGAAATACTTGAGATAAAGCTTTGTTGTCCTGAACCCCAAAATAGGCCCTGCCGGCAGCAAAGTAAATGTTAAATTCCAGTCTCAGACTGACGATAATTTTATTATGTCAAACCTAAAGCTTTGAAAACCTGAAAAGTTGGGCCTTTTGTCACTCGCAGGTAGGATTGGATTTACGTATTCATCCCGGGGGAGGGGAAAGTGGATAAGACGGCTCAACCATATGGCGAACCACAGCCTCTCGTTCGATTACCATTTCATGTCGGGTATGGGATTAGTTAGGTATTTGTTTTCGGAAACATGGACTTGATGATAGTGGAAGCCGTAACCGACCAGCGGTTACGTGAACCACCCTACAGTGGCGAGTCCAACAATCCTCTCGCACATAACTATCCCTGGATGGGATAGGCCTACTTCACCGTTCAAAATGATGATACGTTCTTGCGAAGTTATTGCTCAACAGAGCAGAGATCGCGAAACTGTCACTGACCGAGATCTAATGAGAATTACAAATATGATCGGCCAAATGGGTACCATGGAACTCACTCAGCCCCAAATAACAGCGACTTGACTTGAGAATAGACTAATGACTTGACTCTGGATGTAGTCGAAAAGATCATTTCCATGAATGATACCGATGGCCACATAGATTAAATTGTAAACGTTTTCCGCAGTTTTGGCAAACATAGCAACAGCATTGGTAATCGCTGAACTTTTACAAACACATTTACAATCTCGAGCTTCGAAACCTTATACAGGCCTCTCACAATATTGCTTAGATAATTGCCCTCAACTAAAATTGTTTATGATAAATTGTGAATTTTGTTTTGTGTTTCAATATGATATTTTGATTTGAGAACCACTCGCACATCAACTACGCTATTTTACACAATGCCAGATAATAAGTCTGTTTACATTCTGTGGAAGCTTCTTTTTGGACACGTCAGTGGACATAACGATCGTTTCAATATTATGTTGTTGTTTTTGTTTTCCATCGTCATGATAAAATCGCTTTTTTTTCGAATACTGGATCAATTGCTTTGAAATTTTCAGTGGTTAAAGATTGATTTTTTTTGCCAGAAGGCTATTACTTTTACTTATTTCAAAAATTTCTGTGGCCTTCAAGAGATTCGTTTTTTTGTGTCAGAATAAAAAATAGGGACACCTTGTATGTGTCCATACATTTGAACATAGCTCTCTTGTCTCCATTCGAGCCTCATGTCAGACGGCATGAAAGATTAATTGATATCTGAACAAATTGTCCTTTACAAAAGATTGATGCAAACGGTTGAAATGTGACATCCGCCGTGTCGCATTCTTTTCCTGTAGCATATTTTATATTGTGCTAGGTATTTGTCGTCGATCATTTCGTGTGGGATGCTCAGCATAATGAAAGCATCGCGCTTCTTCTGAATTATCGATCTTTCAGGCAGCAATGCCTCAAATGTTGAGTACGTGGTATATTTAGATGAAAGGTTGAGCCTGTTTATGTTTCGCTTTCAAATTCGATTATTGGGTAATTTTTCATATTATAATTAATTATTACATATTAAAATTGAATTTTTAGACAAATTTGAAGCGAATAACGGACGTCCGCATGCTGGCTTACTATCAACACAATTCATACTGACCTAATATATCTCCAGTGAAAGTCTGTTCTTATCCTGCACTATTTATGAAGATTTTACCTCTTGAAAATAACCCAGCAGCTTATTTACCCGAAAAAAAAAACACGAGATCAAATTAAGCGCTTTAAATAAATATCAAAATCTGTTTTTTTTAGGAATTATTTTAGCAAATTTCATAAAGAAAATAAATAATCCCTAAAATGTCACAAGCAAGTAAAATAACATTGTCGCTATTTGTGACTGCTTTTGTTGTAACAGTCAATTGCAACACTTGTTCTGTTAAACCAATGGAGAAAGGCGTGGATTTGAATAGGGAAAGTACAGTATTATTAGCATTGAATTTCGCGGTATTTTTTATCTCTAGTCGTCACTAACCTGTAAAGTTAACTCCAAAGTAAATTCAATTTCTGGTTGCCGTCGCAAAATAACCGCAACATTGACCAGTGAAAGTATTAGAAGTCCAGGTTCACTAAAAGGTGCTCCTGAAGTATGCGCACCAAGATGGTGGACACCAGAACGTAGTATGTGTGCCAGGTTAGATTAGGCCATAATTTTATTCCAATTTTCCTTATTTTAGTTCTATTACGTGTTGGGGGACTAGTCAAGTGATTCCCGTAGTATTTGTACCTAAAATAATGGCCTAACCCTAACCTAGTACACATACTACGTTCCGGTGCCCGCCATCTTGGTACGCAGACTTCAGGAGTACCAACTGAAATATGGCTAATGGTACAATACAAATCGATTGATGCCAGAAATGCATTCTGCATTGCTCCTGAAAACGACTTCATTCGCTTTAACAGTAGTTGAAATTGATAAGAAATCCATAAGTTAAGAGCAATAATTCAATTTTATACGACAAAAAGAGAGTTACGTGTATCATAGCCCATTTTGAACTGAATATATTTTACGTCTCTCAGCTTGCTGGAACAACTTGGTATCAAATGCTTAATGCAGATGATCCGATTAATCGCGTCACTCCTTGCTATGTCATGAAGTTTGGTGAAGCCACAGAAAATGGAATCAGCTTTGAATTTGTTATGCTTGACCCCAGGTAGGTTTTAAGTTGAAGCGTAACAAATTCGAATGGTTCAGAAATGCCTTTAGGCTGATCTATGCTGACTTAGTATGCAATATTCTGGTGGTATTTTTCATTTGAAAAAATTTATATGTCGTGTACAGACAAGACGTCGTTACACAGCTCTATATAATTCCTATTTAAAAAAGGTGATTTGTATTGCACCTCATACCAAAACCGCATTGAATTACCAGAATTCCATTATTGTATGAAGTTTGAATACAAAATTTCAAATGGTGCATTTTTGGTACTAATTTTTTCAGTAACTTGGGTCGTGTTGAAACATCTTATCAACAATTCTACAAGGAAGGACAAGCCTTCAGATTCAAGATGGATAATGGTTATTATCAGTGGCGGCACCTCAATAGGGCAAACCGGGGCAATGCCCCGGTTGTTTTTTCGGTATAATAAAAAATATTCGAAAAATACCTCAATATCGGTTGCACAGACTGTCTACACCAGCCATATTCTCCCGACTTGGTTCATTTTTCGCTCGCAAAGCCTTCGCCGAACGTCGACGGGGCGACGCCGATTTTGCCCCGGTTGCTCATTGTATATCGTATTCTCTCTTTTATCTTCCACTCGCCGCGTCTGTCTCGTTTGTTTTCTGTTTCTTTTACTAAATCATCGGGGCTAGCCCCGAAATTATGACGACACAGTGCCGACGTTTCTTAAAACAACGTGTTGACATATTCACGCATTCCTTCTCGTTCGTTGGTTGCTTGAAGAGTTGATAGTTTCCTCGCCTTCGTTTTTGTCGCTTGTTTCGCTATTTGAATCAGTAAGAGACCTTTAGTCCATTTGCTTTCGATTTTCCACATTCCTTTTGAGCTCCTCACTTCTTTCCGGCTTCGCATTTCTTAGCCTTAAACCTCATAATGAATAGGGTTGATGCACTACTCCGTTTTCGCAGCTGTCGCTGGAACAAAAATTAGAGGTACAATGTCTTGGGCCTTATCAACCAAAAAATTGTTCACTGGAACAATCCCGTGACGGAGGAAAGCGTCGGCGTACATTCTGCGCAGAAACTTGGTATAAAAAACACGAATGGTTGTGTTACAGCGAGGACAAAAATGCACTTTTTTGTTTTTATTGCCTACTTTTTGCTACCGCCCGTGACTCACGTTGGTGTAAATTTGGTTTTAGAGATCTTAAACATCTTTCCGAGCGTGCCAGGGATCATCAATCTTCTATGGAGCATCTGGACAATGCAGTAAAATACCGAACATTCGGAAATGTTAATATTGCAGCACAGTTGGATGAAGGACGCGCGGTTTCTATTCGTCGGCACAACCAAAACGTCGAGAAAAACCGCCACGTTCTCGGTCGATTGATAGATGTTTTGAAGTTCATTGGTTGTCACGAGCTGTCCCTCCGTGGGCACGATGAACGGGCTGGCTCTTCTAATAGAGGGGTATTTTTGGATATGGTGGAATACACCGCATCCCTAGATACAGTATTGAGAGATCATCTTGATGCCGCAACTGTTTCGAAAGGGACATCTAAGGATATCCAAAATGATTTGCTCGACTCAATGTATAAAATTTATTTACAACATTTGGCTCTGGAAATTGAGAATTGCCAGTTCCTTTCGATTCAGTCTGACGAGACAACTGACATCACGTGCGTTTCCCAACTGGCTGTGATTTTTTGGTTTGTGAAAGATGGTAAACCTACCGAGAGATTTCACAGCTTTGTACCAATCGTTGATCGCACGGCTTGCGGGATATCGGCTGTACTGAAAGAAGTGTTACAGCCTTACAACGCGAAGTCAAAATTGATAGCTCAAACTTATGACGGCGCGGCAGTCATGAGTGGGTCGAAACATGGTGTTCAAGTTTATATAAAGATTTTCCTCATGCGCATTTTTTACATTGTTACGCACACCAATTTAACCTCGTTATTAAAAATATGTGTCTTGATACCCCTCTCGTCCGTATATTTTTTGCAAATGTTTCGGGGTTTTCTTCATTTTTTTCCGTTTCGCCGAAGCGCTCTGACCTCCTTCGCCAGATATGTAGCCGCCGTCTCCCAGCTTGTGCACCAACACGTTGGATCTTTCAATCACGCGTGGTGCAGGGCGTGTCCAAAATTAGGTCTGAGCTCATTGAGTGTTTCAATGGCATTCAGAGCTCTCCGGTTTGGGACGAACGCTCTGTGAGGGAGGCGGCAGGTCTAAAGCGTCTGTTAGAAGATGGTGAGTTTTCATTTTTTCTCCACAATATTCTATCACGTGGATGTATTATACGGCGCATTGCAGTCAAGGCTAATGGATGGAGCGTCTGTGCAGTCGTGTATTTCAGACTTCTGCGATGCTGTATCTCGTATCCGGGAAACAATAAAATACGACGACACATGGAGTGCTTCTTTACGCCGCGGGCAAACAACGCAGCGTTTGATTTTGTCTGCAAAGGAATGCTGTGACATTCTGGTGAATCAAATAGGCGATCGTCTGCGCACTGAACACCTTGCCGCGTTCTCTTTGATGAACCCCAAAAATTTTTCAAAATTTGCACGTCAATTTCCCATCCATTTGTTGGCTACTGTCTCCAAATTTTACCCCATGATAAACGTGGGTAAATTGGAAAATGAATTGCGATGTATATACACCAATCAAACTTTTCTGAACATCACATCAACTTGCGCGCTCTATGGGTTCCTCATAGATAACACTCTAGTAACTACCTTTGCGGCGTCTGCAAAATTGCTGGACATCATTTTGACGACGCCTATTTCTTCCGCCGACGCAGAGCGAACATTCAGCACGCTGAAGCGTATTAAAACGTATCTCAGAAACACAATGAAGCAAGATAGATTAAATTCCTTGGCTGTTTTATCCATTCACAGAGACGTTATTTCTGGGATGCATGACTTTAATCAGCGCGTTATTGAGCATTTTGCTTCCAAGAAACCGCGGTGTGTTGCATATATGTTCAAGCAGTAGAAATCTAGCAGCATATATATCTATGAGTGAGCGACGCATGTCCTTATCTTTGCATTAACTTTCCTTTCTTCATAGTAACGTTTTAAACCTTATTTTAGGTTTTGTCTGCTTTCCCGAAGTTTCTGTTAATATGTCATTGTATTTATCTGGGTAAATATTGCCTTTCCTTTTGAAAGAGGTTTCAAAATAAACTATGTCTATATTTATTAATCCCTTGACTTGGACCGGTTTTAAAGACACTTTCTTATCGTTAAAAATTGTCGCTTTTGCCGATTGGTTGTTACCGATGGAATGGTTTTTATACTCATAAAATGATGGGAGAACTTACAGCGCTCATCCTGTCCCCGTAGATGGGGGTGACTTGGTCCCGCAGTAGCTTACCCCGGTTGTCAAAATGACCACGCGCCGCCACTGGTTATTATAATTTATTTGTTATCAAAAAGATGTGCCTTAAGCTTTGAGATAACTATTTCGTTATTCTATGCACTGTCTATGTCACTAACCTCACATGCGTTGTAATTGAAAAGAATGTATATATATATATGTATAAATTCTTAGGTTGTTTTCAAGTTTCAACTACTCTGACTTTTTCACAAGGCAATTCAGAACCATATATGGAATTATTTCGTGAATAATCAGAAGTTCATGATAAAATTATATAATAGTTTCTCTGTATTTGTTGTTTTGGTTGTTTTCATTATTTATCAACATCCACACATTTTTACAATAGATGATATGCTTTGGCATATACCTATAAACGTATGCCTATTCCGTGAAAGTTACATTTTCTGTTTTACTGTGTCATAATCGCATACATTTCGAATGTCGCTGTAATTGTATCAGTTGTGACTTATTCCTAGGATTTATTCATTTTATCCCTCATTTAATTATGTTTATTCTAACCTGTAGCGCTGTAGGTGTCGCTGCTTGAAGACCTTCTTAGGTCCCTCGCGGCTCCGGTCACGCAAAAACATGATTAGTACTGTAATTTATTCATTGTGTCACTTTATGTTTGAACGTGTTTTTTTTGTGATGACAAAATAAACGATTGATTGATTGAGGCAATTTTTCTCACCAAATTCAGGTCTTTGCTTATAAACTAGTATTTACATTCTTTCCAGGCTTACACTTTTCTATTACTATTCTCTTAATTGTTTTGTTTCAGAGGAAAAATGGTTGAAGGCTTCGCTAAAGCAGGCGTTGGATAAACCAAGAGAAGCGAGTGGAGCCGAAAAGGGTCAGTGAATTTTATATGGATACAACATTGAACGAGATCCCCACAAATTGCTAAAATAAGAGCTCCATCTGTTCATTTTATAAAATACAAAGTCCCTAGATTATTGTTATGAATGAACATTTTATGAGCATTGCTAAATATTAATAATTATTTAACCCTTCCATTTTTTACAAACAGTTTTGTCTATAAGTTGCTTCGCAAATTCCGAGAAATGTGTATTTATGTTCCTTGCTATTTTTGTTGAATGACAATAATTTGTTTCCGTGTATTGAAAATATCCAGTTCAATCATCTGAGCAAATTTCATTCTTGTACTATTTTTTTAGAATTACTCGACCACTTCAAATACCCTGTGTATATCTATACCGACTACGAAACTTACTTCATGGGTATTTTGTGCCGAGAAGGTAAAGTTTTGAATATGCAAATCTCGACTTGATCAATGATGAAAAATGCTTAAATATTGGAACAAGTGCATTCACGGGATATTTTATTTATAACTATTGGGTTTTTCTATTTATTTTTTACCTCAAATCACAATTAGAAAGACATAATACATCCGCTTTTTGCGCTGTTGGATTGAAATGTAGATGAAAGAATTAAAAATTCAATTTAAAATAACCAGACGACGCACTTGCATGATGTAATGATTTAATTTTTTGAGTTTCACCCCTGTTAAGCAAGTTGAGATAACATTTTAGCTTAATTGCCATATATCTATCATTTAGGTTAATGAAGCCAATTAGGGCGTATTGTATTATTATATAAACACGTCATTCCCAATTCCAAATTAACAATATTTTGTTTTTATCATTTATAGATAGCCCAGTAGCGTTTGCGTATTCTTCCTACAACGGTATCTCAGCTGAAACTACGACAAAAATTTATAATGCAATGATTGAACACGACGATACACCTGTGCCGTTATATTTCTCCCAGTGCCCTTTGATGGAAAATATTGAAGATTATTTGAAGAAATTTGTCAACAATTACGACTGTGATTCTGGACAGTTTCATTTGCTGTTAGAGCGGATCGGAACGCCTTGTTGATATGGTACCATGATGTAAATGTTGTGTTGTAACTGTATACACAGAGAATTGAAATGAAACTTTGTTAAAGGAGAGTGAATATATTTATTGACACGCATATTCAAGAGAATAAGCATTTGCCATGAATTCATTGGGTATTCGCTGATTCAGTATTTGAATTCACTTACATACCCACAACGTTCTTGCAGTCTACGTAACTAGCCTTTAATTATATTTCGTGACCATCGAGATAATAAACAGTGAACTGCAAACAATAAGCACAAAGATAGGACAGTTCCACAACCGTAATACAGAACGGTAACTGTCTCGTAAAAGCGGGGCTTGCACTCACTGGTATAAATAATGTCTTTTAATGCGGGGACTTCTCTTGGAATCGGTAAACTGTGCCCTGTTGGGTAAGTCACCGCATTGTAGCCATGTAGCTGTTTCACTGTTACGCTTCGTTCAGGATACCCTATGATTTTCGGTGAATTGATGATAAAATATATCGTTTCGTCTTACGAGTCCATATAATTGGGCATCACTTGGTATTTTAATTCATGTTGAAAGTGAATGGAGAAGAATAGATTATTGCCACAAGACATGGAAAAACTACGGCAGCCCATGTATCGTTATTTGTACCCCGATTCAGGTGCTGGTAAGTAAAGGCATTTGATTTGGGGACGTTCATTATGGGAAATGTTGAAAAATACAGAAATACCATCCTGAAGAAATCCTGAGTGCACAATGAAACCTAAAACCTCATACACATTTCTATCAATACAATCGATTTACAAGATTTTTGTTATAAGATTTGTCCAGATCAATCATTTTCAATAATAGTTTTCTATTTTCTCAGTCTGAATATATCGATATTCGGGCACAATGGCGTAATTCATCAAATTCTAATTTCATAGACTTTCAAGATCACAACAATAACAAGAGAGCTATGCTCAAATATATGGACACGTAGCGCCACCCAGTGGCAATAATTTTAATGACGTCATAGCGAGAGAAAAAAGTAATAGCCTTCTGGAGAAAAATTTTATCTTTAACCACTGAAAATATCAAAGCATTTGGTCCAGTATTCGAAGAGAAAAGCGATTTTTTAAAAATGGAGACGGAGACAAATAACAATAACAACAAAATTTTGAAACGATCGTTATGGCCACTAAACGTGTCCAATAATATAAAAACAAGAGAGCAATGCTCAAATATATGGACACGTTAACCAGAGTGAAGCAGTCCTTACCTTTGACGCTACCGGTACCCTCAAAAATTTCCTGAGTTTCGAGTAGCAAGAAGTTACAGAATCAAACCCGACAGGCATTGTTCCCATGGATAAAATTAGGATGACGTCATAGCACACAAAAAACGAATCCCAAGCAGCTCACCGGAATATATGAAATAAATAAAAATGAAAGCCTTCTAGCGAAAAATTTAATCTTCAAGCACTCAAAATTTTAAAGCGATTGGTTCAGTAATCAAAAAAAAGCGGGTTTTTCAGTGACAAAGAACAACAACAACATAATATTAAAACGATCCATAGGTCCACTTACGTGTCCAATAAAGTGTTGTACGCAGTTTAACACAGTGGAGGGCAAGCAGTGCTATATCATAGCGTTAGAGGAAATATGATTATGATATTTGCTTATCCTAAGTATGAATACGGTATGACGGAATGCTTTAAGTTTACGTAAAATAATAGTCAACAGTAAAAGGTAATCCTTATTCAATATCGAACATTAAAATTCGCTTGCGTTTTACAGGCAAATTGGACCTTCAAGTTAAGTGAGGAAGTGTTTTATTTTACTTTCGAAGGGAGGGGGCACAAATAAATTCATATCAAACAGCTTCTAATCCGTATACTCATCAATGACGTGTGTATTGCCCGATAAAAACTCGGCATGAGATAACAATGCAGTCCTAACATTTCTATACCGGAAACAAGAGAGCTATGCTCAACTATATGGACACATTAAAATAATAAATCTTTACTCTGAAATTAAAGAGCAAGTTATTTCGATGCAAAAAAGAAGTCTGTAAAGAAAATACAGGTCTCGTAATATACCCCTCACACAGGGGCGGATTAAGCCCCTTTGGTGCCCTAAGCACTGAAGACTTTGGTGCCCCCTCATGTGTAATTTAATTATAAAAACAATAAACCACATAAGTGTATTATCCATTAAAAATAATCACAACCAACAGTAAATAAAACAACTTTTACGAACATTTTCAGTTTTTTCACTGTTATATATAGCCGATATATATATATGATATATCGGCAAACATGCAATATCGGACCGATATATATCGGTTGAGCTCCAATCCTGAGGGTGTGTGACAATAAAGATTCATGCCTCCAGTCTCAACGTGAATCGAAATACCAAAGCATACGAGTCACAACCGTAGTTTGAAATTAGTCTACCCCAGGGTGCTTCAAGGTTGCTAGGTTGAAGGACCGCAAAAGCTATTGAGGAGGTCTCGCGGGCCGCAAGTCGGAGAAACCCCTAAAGTGATCGAAATATCGCTAGTTTACTCAGTTCAAATTTAATAAAGAACGAGAGTTTACCGTTCTAATCAGACTATTATTATGTTGCATGGGTGGCGTTCTTTTGAAGAAGATATATAAAGCCTTCAGTTATTTTAAAGTTAATTCCCGAGAATTACCGTTGTATTTCGCGCATCTCGCGTTGTCGCTTCAAATTATTTTCTTTCGTGACAGATATTACGATACTTGAAATCAAAACAGACACTGTGTAATGGGCAAGGAAATACGTTTCCGCCGTGTTTTCCTCATGTCACATTTCTTGCAACACTCATTTTATTACGAATTGTTATATTTAATAATTTAAAAACTTGCAGCGTGAGCAAGCTTAGTGCCATCGTCAAATACCAACCAAGTCCGTCTAAATTGGTATTTCGGGACCTAGCTAAAAAAATGGATTGCGCGGCGTTAAGTTGGTTCTGCGTTTCGTCACTACTATCACATGGCCGACCCTTGAAAATAGAGTAGTGTTTTTTACTAAAATAAAGGCACAAAGCGTCAGAAAAAGGGTGGGTTTGAATCTCGGGATCCCAACCTCAGTTGAAATAGCAAAAAAAACTCAAAAACGTCCCTCCATTAGATACAAATATACGCTAAAATTGATCTGTGAGCCGCACGGAATGTATCAGCATGACAGGGTTTGGACCACCCTGGTCTACCTTGTCAAAAAACTCCCGACTTCGCTAACCACTAGATCGTTGAAATGCCACCGTGGAACCGCCACATAGTGGAAATAGTTCCTTGGTCCAATTGTTGAAAAGAAAAGAAATTTTTTTAAAAAGAAAAATGTAGCAACAAGGAGAATACTAGGAAGGAAAAACAACAACAAATTAAGAAAACGATTCATAGATCCATTTCGTGTCCAGTAAATGAGTCCCAGTGTTTATTTTTAATAAAGAAGGTTAATATGATACTTGAAGACGAAAAATAACCGAATATTTTGAAGTTTTAGTCGTCTGGTGAATTCGTAATATTTTAATAAACACTGATAAACTATATAAAATTCTGCTCTAAAATTTCTGTGGTGCCCCTCTTTGCTTGGTGCCCTAAGCACGTGCTTATATTGTTTAATGGTTAATCCGGCGCTGCCCTCACAACATTACTTAGATAATTGCCCTCAACTGAAATTTTGTAAGATAAATTGAAAATTATGTTGTGTGTTCAAATATGATATTTTGATTTAAGAACCACTCGCACATCAACTACGCTATTTTACACAATGACAGATAATAAGTCTGTTTACATGTGTTTAAGTCTGTTTAAATGTGGAAGTTTCTTGTCTCCATCCGAGCTTCATGTCAGACAGCATGAAAGATTAATTGATATGTAACAAATTGTTCGTTATAAAGATTAATGTAAACAGTCGAAATGTGACATCCGCGTGTCGCATTCTTTTTCCTGAGGCATATTTTACATTGAGCCATGTATTTGTTGTTGTTCATTTCTTATGGGAAGCTCAGCAAGTTTTCTCGATGCTAGAAAGAAGTCGGTAAAGAAAATACATGTCTCGTAATATGCCCCTCACAACATTACTTACATCAGGGTGGTCAAAGGTTGTTGGCTCCGCGGGCCACAAAATTATTTTGGCATTGGTCGCGGGCCACAATAGTACCAAGAATAGGTAAACAGTGCAATACATAACAAGCACTTCTATTGTGTAAACACATAGTTATCAGGCATTGCCAACCTAGGCTGATGGAATCCGCATCCGATGTTTAGTTTTCTACCATGCATATGGCAAAACGATAGAATTCCAGGTAACAATTTAGACTACCCATCACATCTTAAACTTTGCTAGCTGCTTCAGCTAGCCATCATACTAGTCAATTCAGTCACAGTAGTGATATAACAACAAAATGTCAAACGATTTTTCTGATTTATTACATGAGAAGCAATTTAAAATACGATATTTTAATTACTCTCCGAATGCGGCGCGGGCCACAGATTATGAATCGGCGGGCCACATGTGGCCCGCGGGCCTGGGTTTGGACCACCTTGACTTAGATAATCGCCCTCAACTAAAATTTTGTAAGATAAATTGAAAATTATGTTTTGTGTTCCAATATGATATTTTGATTTAAGAACCACTCGCACATCAACCACGCTATTTTACACAATGACAGATAATAAGTCTGTTTACATTCTGTGGGAACGTGGAATTTTCTTGTCTTCATTCGAGCTTCATGTCAGACAGCATGAAAGCTTAATTAATATGTAACAAATTGTCGTTATAAAAGATTGATGTAAACAGTCGAAATGTGACATCCGCCGTGTCGCATTCTTTTTCCGAAGCATATTTTATATTGAGCCATGTAATTGTTGTTGTTCATTTCTTATAGGATGCCGAGCATATTGGAAGCATCGGGTTTCTTGTGAATTATCGGGCTTTCAGACAGCAATGTCTCAAATGTTGAGTATGTGGTGTGTTTAAATGACTTTAGATGAAAGGTTGAGCCTGTTTATGTTTCGTTTTCAAATGCGAATATTGGGGAATTTTTCATATAATTCTTATTACATATTGAAATTGCATTTTCAGACAAAATTGAAGCGGATAACGGACGCCATGCTGGATTACTATCAATCAACACAATTCATAGTAACCTAATATATCTTCAGTGAAAGTCTGTTTTTACTCTGCACCATTTATTAAGGCTACACCTCTTGAAAAGAACCCAGCAGCTTAACTATATACCCCCGAAAAACGTTTTATATAAATATCAAAATCTTTTTCTCTTAAGAATTATTCTAGCAAATTTCAAAAAGGGAATAAATAATCCACAAAATGTCACAGGCGAGTAAAATAACATTGTTGCTATTTGTGACTGCTTTTGTTGTAACAGTCAATTGCAACACTTGTTCTGTTAAACCAATGGAGAAAGGCGTGGATTTGAATAGGGTGAGTACAGTATTATTAGCATTGAATTTCGCGGTATTTTTTATCGCTAGTCATCACTAACCTGTAAAGTTACCTCCAAAGTAAATTCAATTTCTGGTTGCCGTCGGAGAATAACCGCAACATTGACCAGTGAAAGTATTAGAAGTCCAGGTTCTCTAAAAGGTGCTCCTGGAGTATGCGTACCAAGATGGCGGACACCGGAACGTAGTATGTTTACCAGATTAAATTAGGCCATAATTTTATTCCAATTTTCCTTATTTCAGTTCTATTACGAGTTCGGGGACTAGTCAAGTGATTCCCGTAGTATTTGTACCTAAAATTATGGCTTAACCCTAACCTAGTACACATACTACGTTCCGGTGCCCGCCACCTTGGTACGCATACTTCAGGAGTACCAACTGAAATATGGCTAACGGTACAAATCGATAGATGCCAGAAATGCATTCCGCATTGCTTCTGAAAACGACTTCATTCGCTTTAACAGTAGTTGGAATTGATGGGAAATTCATAAGTTAAGAGAAATAATTCAATTTCATGCGACAAAAACTGTCTTACGTGTATCATAGCCCATTTTGAACTGAATATATTTTACGTCTCTCAGCTTGCTGGAACAACTTGGTATCAAATGCTTAATGCAGATGATCCGATTGATCGTGTCACACCTTGCTATGTCGTGAAGTTTGGTGAAGCCACAGAAGATGGAATCAGCTTTGAATTTGTTATGCTAGACCCCAGGTGGGTTTTAAGTTGAAGCGTAACAAATTCGAATGGTTCAGAAATCAGAAATGCTTATATGCAGCTAAGCAGATCTGTGCTGACTTAGTATGCAAGAAACGGGTGTGAATTTTCATTTGAAAGATTTATATGCCGTGTACAACCAAGGCGTCAATACACAGTTTTATATAATCCTTTTTTAATAAATGTGATTTGTATTGCACCTCATACCAAAAAGTCAATAAACTACCAGAATTGTCTTATTATATGAAGTTTGAACACAAAATTTCAAATAGTGAATTTTTGGTACTAATTTTTTTAGTAACTTGGGTCGTGTTGAGACATCTTATCAACAATTCTACAAGGAAGGACAAGCCTTCAGATTCAAGATGGAGAATGGTTATTATAATTTATTTGTTATCAAAAAAGATGTGACGAAATTGTAACCTGTGAATGTAAAAAAAAGTTATTTAATTTGTTTATGGCCTTTTCGACTAATGATAAGATGCGCGCATCTAGATTTCATTTTTATGTCTCGGTATCGTTTCTCGTAGGGTTTTCCGCCCTTTCTTCAAGGTTTTGGTTTTCCAAGCGCGTCAAGTGACACTATGACGCATCGTCTGTGGTCACTAACATCGCATGCGTTGGTAATTGAAAAGAATGTATAAGTTTTTACGGTGCTTTCAAGTTTCACATACTCGGATGTTTTGCACAGGGCAATTCAGAACCAAATATAGAACTATTCCATGAATAATCAGTTCATAAATTGAGCGCAAATAAAGCTGAATAATAGTTTCGCTGTATTTGTTATTTTGGTTGTTATTATTTATCAACAGCCACACATTTTTACAATAGATGATATGCTTTAGCATATACCCATAAACGTATGCCAAACATTGAGGCGATTTTTCTCACCAAATTCAGGTCTTTGCTTTTAAACTATGATTAACATCCTTTCCAATCTTGCACTTTTCTATTCCTATCCTCTTAGGCTTCTCTAAAAATTGTTTTGTTTCAGAGAAAAAATGGTTGAAGGCTTCGCTAAAGCAGGCGTTGGATAAACCAAAAGATGCGAGTGGAGACGAGAAGGGTCAGTGAATTTAATATAGACAAAACATTGAACATTTTATGAGCATTGCTAAATATTAATAAATATTTTAACCCTTCCATTTTATACAAACAGTTTTGTCTATAAGTTTCTGCGCAAATTCCGAGAAGTGTGTATTAATGTTCATTGCTATTTTTGTTGAATGACAATAATTTGTTTCCGTTTATTGAAAATATCCAATTCAATCATCAAAGCGAATTTCATCCTTGTACTATTTTTCAGAATTACTCGATCACTTCAAATACCCTGTGCATATCTATACCGACTACGAAACTTACTACATTGGTATTTTGTGCCTAGAAGGTAAATATTTAAAGTTCTAAATATGCAAATCACAACTTGTTCAATGATGAAAAAAGCCACAATTTCTGGTTGCTGTCGGAAAATAACCGCAACATTGACCAGTAAATATATTTAAAGTCCGTGTTCACTAAAAGATCATCGCTAACGGCACAAAGGGATATTTGCCAGTAATGCATTCTGCATTGCTTTTAAAAACGATTCCTTTCTCTCCAACAAGTGACACAAACATTAACCGTCGACTATTTCCGACATTGCATTGAAGTTTAATTTATTAGTAAGTAAATTTCGAAATGCACACAGCGCATTCAGAAGATATGTAATTTATCAGGATATTTTATTTATTTTTTACCTCAAATCACAATTAGAAAGACATAATACGTTGACTATTTTCATTATTAAGTTGAAATACGTTTTACCCCTGTTAAACAAGTCTAGGAAAATTGTTTAAAATAACCACACGATTCACTTACATGACGTAATGACTTATTTTTATACGTTTCACCCCTGCTAAACATTTCCTAGTTAAGATAACATTTCAACGTAATTGGTATATTTTTATCCCTAAGGTTAATGAAGCTAATTGAGCCGTATTGTATTATTATAGAAATACGTCATTCCCAATTCCAAATTGACAATATTTTGTTTTTATTATTCACAGATAGCCCGGCAGTGTTTGCGTATTCTTCCTACAACGGTATCTCAGCTGAAACTACGGCAAAAATATATAATGCAATGATTGAACACGACGATATGCCTGTACCTTTATATTTCTCCAAGTGCCCTTTGATAAAAAACATTGAAGAATATTTGAAGTAATTTGTCATGAACATTTTCATTTGCTGTCAGAGCGGATCGTAATATTGAAATGTTATCATTGTGTAAATATTTGTATTGTAACTGTTTTTTCAACACAGAGACTTGAAATGAAACTCTGTTAAAGGAGAATGAACAATTAAATTTATTGTAAAGCATTTTAAAGAGAATAAACTTATTCAACATTTGTCATGCATTCTTTGGGTATTCGCTAATAATACAGCAGAGTTTGAGTTTGTAAAAGGAAGATATTCAAATACAAAATAGGTCTCTCTACAATGGAGGATTTTTCTTATTTTAATTTATAATCTTTCTAGGAGCACAAAATCAGGTTATTCAATTCTGCTTGTTGTGATACAGCGGTTTTACGCTCATGAAGGGAAAATTTACAATATACATTTGATATAAGTCAAAACTAGGTGGTAATTGCTCATATCTTATTTTTACAAATGTTTGTATTTGCTGTGTGGGTGATGTGAGTACCCATTTGGGTTCTCCCGAAGTGAGATTCTAAGTGACTTCCGTATTAATAGTACCTGAAAATTATGGCCTAAACCTAAACTGGTACACATAATACGTTGTGGTGTCCGCCATCTTGGTTTACATACTTCGGGAGTACCCCCATTTGTTTCTATGTTAGGTTTAGTTAAGTTTTTTTCTAGTGATCTTGTATTATTATCACTATATTTTACAGTGAGTGTGGACCTGTGGTATAACATAACTTTTTGTTAATCTCAGTAACACAACGCAAATCATTCCGGTTTCCACCTCGAAAAGTTTTTTGTACAATTCAGAGTTTATCAATATGAAATCTTAGATTTATTGCTTTGTATGCAGTATGCAAAAATATTCTTAGAAACCCACGGTGAAAGGTAAATTAAGTACTTGAAGCATAATAAGCGTGGACGTTACTACATCAATAATAAATTGCATGTCAAAAATGTTCAAATTCAAATTTTGCCACAATCATTTTTCGATTTATCAATAACAAGAGAGCTATGCTCAAATATACGGACACGTAGCGCACCCAGTGGCGATAATTTTGATGACGTCATAGCGAGAGAAAAAGTAATAGCCTTCTGGAGAAAAATTTTCTCTTTAACCACTGAAAATATCAAAGCATTTGGTCCAGTATTCGAAGAGAAAAGCGATTTTTTTAAAATGGAGACGGAGACAAACAACAACAAGAGAGCTATGCTCAAATATATGGACACGTAGAGTCACATAATTTTGATGACGTCATAGCGAAAAAAAAAGTAATAGCCTTCTGGAGAAAATTTTTATCTTTAACCACTAAAAATTTCAAAGCAATTGGTCCAGTATTCGAAGAGAAAAGCGACTTTTTAAAAACGTGTCAAGCGGTACTGAGTTAGCAGTCAGGCAGCATCTTACCTGTACACTGTAGGCCATATACAGTAATTGATCACAGAACAGTTGTTCCCTTGCAAATTTTATGTTGTTTACACTTTAGGACAGATAATTGATCACAGAACAATTCTTCCCTTTCAAATTTTATGTTGTTTCCAGTAGACTTTCATCAAAATAAACAAATATAGTAGGCTACAAGTGCTACAACGCTTGCATTACTGCACTGGTAGGACCGTGAAAGAATAAGTTACGGTAATTTCATTGTGGTAAGACACCGGTACCGGCACCAGTACCAGTATCGTACTTACGTACTGAGCTACCAGTACCGGTTAGCAGTCAGCCAGCATCTTACCTGTACACTGTAGGCCATATACGGTAATTGATCACAGAACAGTTGTTCCCTTGCAAATTTTATGTTGTTTACACTTTAGGACAGATAATTGATCACAGAACAATTCTTCCCTTTCAAATTTTATGTTGTTTCCAGTAGACTCTCATCAAAACAAGAGAGCTATGCTCAAATATATGGACACGTAGAGTCACATAAATTTGATGACGTCATAGCGAAAAAAAAAGTAATAGCCTTCTGGAGAAAATTTTTATCTTTAACCACTAAAAATTTCAAAGCAATTGGTCCAGTATTCGAAGAGAAAAGCGATTTTTTAAAAACGTGTCAAGCGGTACTGAGTTAGCAGTCAGGCAGCATCTTACCTGTACACTGTAGGCTATATACGGTAATTGATCACAGAACAGTTGTTCCCTTGCAAATTTTATGTTGTTTACACTTTAGGACAGATAATTGATCACAGAACAATTCTTCCCTTTCAAATTTTATGTTGTTTCCAGTAGACTCTCATCAAAATAAACAAATATAGTAGGCTACAAGTGCTACAACGCTTGCATTACTGCACTGGTAGGACCGTGAAAGAATAAGTTACGGTACCGTAATTTCCTTGTGGTAAGACACCGGTACCGGCACCAGTACCAGTATCGTACTTACGTACTGAGCTACCAGTACCGGTACCGAACCTGTAGGTCTGATATTCCGTTCCGCATACGATAGGCTATAAAACTTGCATTGCAGCATTAGTAATACCGCGGAAGGAATAAGTCAATTTCACTGCGTTACGGTACCGGTATGGCAACTTACCAGTACCGACCTACAGTAGCTGTAGTACTGAGCAAGACAATCGATCGCGAAACCGCTTGAAATAAGTGTAAAACAGTGTTCCATGAGTAAAAATAAATACCGCGAAATTTTGTATGAAATATCATATCTCATAGGATTCATATAAAATTTAAGAATAAACAAAAGTAATAGCCTTCTAGCGAAAAAATTAATCTTTAACCACTGAAAATTTCAAAGCAATTGGTCCAGTATTCGAAGAGAAAAGCGACTTTTTAAAACGTGTCAAAGAACAAGAACAACAACAACAACATAATATTGAAACGATCGTTATGTCCACTACGTGTCCAATAAACAAATATAGTAGGCTACAAGTGCTACAACGCTTGCATTACTGCACTGGTAGGACCGTGAAAGAATAAGTTACGGTAATTTCATTGTGGTAAGACACCGGTACCGGCACCAGTACCAGTATCGTACTTACGTACTGAGCTACCAGTACCGGTACCGAACCTGTAGGTCTGATATTCCGTTCCGCATACGATAGGCTATAAAACTTGCATTGCAGCATTAGTAATACCGCGGAAGGAATAAGTCAATTTCACTGCGTTACGGTACCGGTATGGCAACTTACCAGTACCGACCTACAGTAGCTGTAGTACTGAGCAAGACAATCGATCGCGAAACCGCTTGAAATAAGTGTAAAACAGTGTTCCCATGAGTAAAAATAAATACCGCAAAATTTTGTATGAAATATCATATCTCATAGGATTCATATAAAATTTAAGAATAAACAAAAGTAATAGCCTTTTAGCGAAAAAATTAATCTTTAACCACTGAAAATTTCAAAGCAATTGGTCCAGTATTCGAAGAAAAAAGCGACTTTTTAAAAACGTGTCAAAGAACAACAACATAATATTGAAACGATCGTTATGTCCACTACGTGTCCAATAACAACAAAATTTTGAAAAGATCGTTATGGCCACTAAACGTGTCTAATAATATAAAAACAAGAGAGCAATGCTCAAATATATGGACACGTTAACCAGAGTGAAGCAGTCCTTACCTTTGACGCTACCGGTACCCTCAAAAATTTCCCGAGTTTCGAGTAGCAAGAAGTTACAGAATCAAACCGGACAGCCATTGTTCCCATGGATAAAATTCGGATGACGTCATAGCACACAAAAAACGAATCCCAAGCAGCTCACCGGAATATATGAAATAAATAAAAGTGAAAGCCTTCTAGCGAAAAATTTAATCTTCAAGCACTCAAAATTTTAAAGCGATTGGTTCAGTAATCAAAGAAAAAGCGGGTTTTTCAGTGACAAAGAACAACAACAACATAATATTAAAACGATCCATAGGTCCACTTACGTGTCCAATAAAGTGTTGTACGCAGTTTAACACAGTGGAGGGCAAGCAGTGCTATATCATAGCGTTAGAGACAATATGATTATGATATTTGCTTATCCTAAATATGAATACGGTATGACGGAATGCTTTAAGTTTACGTAAAATAATAGTCAAAAGTAAAAGGTAATCCTTATTCAATATCGAACATTAAAATTCGCTTGCGTTTTACAGGCAAATTGGACCTTCAAGATAAGTGAGGAAGTGTTTTATTTTACTTTCGAAGGGAGGGGGCACAAATAAATTTATATCAAACAGCTTCTAATCCGTATACTCATCAATGACGTGTGTATTGCCCGATAAAAACTCGGCATGAGATAACAATGCAGTCCTAACATTTCTATATCGGAAACAAGAGAGCTATGCTCAACTATATGGACACATTAAAATAATAAATCTTTACTCTGAAATTAAAGAGCAAGTTATTTCGATGCAAAAAAGAAGTCTGTAAAGAAAATACAGGTCTCGTAATATACCCCTCACACGGGCGGATTAAGCCCCTTTGGTGCCCTAAGCACTGAAGACTTTGGTGCCCCTGTAGCCAATTAGTTGTTATGTAACTACAAAACTACACCAAATTGGCCCAATTCGTGAGAAACTCATGAAAACCAAAATTAATTATTCCCGTTATAGCAATTATCAATTTCTCAAAATCCAATTTCAAGATTTAATAGCATTTCGGTGCCATCCCATGTAAAAATAAAATTTATTTCCAGTAATATTCCAATAACGTAAATTCGAAATATCTTGTTAAAACCAAATTATCCACTTGAGAACAATTTTTTACATCTCATAATTGGAGTAAGTACGTGACCAGGAACACGGTGACTTGGCAATAACAAGTTAATTGCTAGTAATGAACTTCAAGAAAACACTCTTAATAATGTTTGATTATAGTGAACCGAAAGCTAACCAAAAACCGGAATGACGCGTGATTCTTTAATCGTTAATGTAAAAATCTGTTTCTTTATTCTATTTTAATTGCTTGGTAGAAAGCTATATATTCAGCAACGTGTTTTGTTTTAATCAGACTAGATTTGATCAAATTGTGTGTACATTGTATTTCTGTATATATTGTCGGAATTGCAATAAACTCATAAGGTGTTTTCAAACGTCTCCTTACTACAGCCGAAGGCTATCGACAGATAGACAGTTCGAGTTAACGAACGCAAGACAAAACTATTGTCAGTCAATGCTGGGGTTATAACACATAAACCAGACCAATCTACAAACAATCTATGTGTAGTGATAACTAATCACTATACCCCCTCATGTGTAATTTGATTATAAAAACAATAAACCACATAAGTGTATTATCCATTAAAAATAATCACAACCAACAGTAAATAAAACAACTTTTACGAACATTTTCAGTTTTTTCACTGTTATATATAGCCGATATATATATATGATATATCGGCAAACATGCAATATCGGACCGATATATATCGGTTGAGCTCCAATCCTGAGGGTGTGTGACAATAAAGATTCATGCCTCCAGTCTCAACGTAAATCGAAATACCAAAGCATACAAGTCACAACCGTAGTTTGAAATTAGTCTACCCCAGGGTGCTTCAAGGTTGCTAGGTTGAAGGACCGCAAAAGCTATTGAGGAGGTCTCGCGGGCCGCAAGTCGGAGAAACCCCTAAAGTGATCGAAATATCGCTAGTTTACTCAGTTCAAATTTAATAAAGAACGAGAGTTTACCGTTCTAATCAGACTATTATTATGTTGCATGGGTGGCGTTCTTTTGAAGAAGATATATAAAGCCTTCAGTTATTTTAAAGTTAATTCCCGAGAATTACCGTTGTATTTCGCGCATCTCGCGTTGTCGCTTCAAATTATTTTCTTTCGTGACAGATATTACGATACTTGAAATCAAAACAGACACTGTGTAATGGGCAAGGAAATACGTTTCCGCCGTGTTTTCCTCATGTCACATTTCTTGCAACACTCATTTTATTACGAATTGTTATATTTAATAATTTAAAAAACTTGCAGCGTGAGCAAGCTTAGTGCCATCGTCAAATACCAACCAAGTCCGTCTAAATTGGTATTTCGGGGACCTAGCTAAAAAAATGGATTGCGCGGCGTTAAGTTGGTTCTGCGTTTCGTCACTACTATCACATGGCCGACCCTTGAAAATAGAGTAGTGTTTTTTACTAAAATAAAGGCACAAAGCGTCAGAAAAAGGGTGGGTTTGAATCTCGGGATCCCAACCTCAGTTGAAATAGCAAAAAAAACTCAAAAACGTCCCTCCATTAGATACAAATATACGCTAAAATTGATCTGTGAGCCGCACGGAATGTATCAGCATGACAGGGGTTTGGACCACCCTGGTCTACCTTGTCAAAAAACTCCCGACTTCGCTAACCACTAGATCGTTGAAATGCCACCGTGGAACCGCCACCATAGTGGAAATAGTTCCTTGGTCCAATTGTTGAAAAGAAAAGAAATTTTTTTAAAAAGAAAAATGTAGCAACAAGGAGAATACTAGGAAGGAAAAACAACAACAAATTAAGAAAACGATTCATAGATCCATTTCGTGTCCAATAAATGAGTCCCAGTGTTTATTTTTAATAAAGAAGGTTAATATGATACTTGAAGACGAAAAATAACCGAATATTTTGAAGTTTTAGTCGTCTGGTGAATTCGTAATATTTTAATAAACACCGATAAACTATATAAAATTCTGCTCTAAAATTTCTGTGGTGCCCCTCTTTGCTTGGTGCCCTAAGCACGTGCTTATATTGTTTAATGGTTAATCCGGCGCTGCCCTCACAACATTACTTAGATAATTGCCCTCAACTGAAATTTTGTAAGATAAATTGAAAATTATGTTGTGTGTTCAAATATGATATTTTGATTTAAGAACCACTCGCACATCAACTACGCTATTTTACACAATGACAGATAATAAGTCTGTTTACATGTGTTTAAGTCTGTTTAAATGTGGAAGTTTCTTGTCTCCATCCGAGCTTCATGTCAGACAGCATGAAAGATTAATTGATATGTAACAAATTGTTCGTTATAAAGATTAATGTAACAGTCGAAATGTGACATCCGCGTGTCGCATTCTTTTTCCTGAGGCATATTTTACATTGAGCCATGTATTTGTTGTTGTTCATTTCTTATGGGAAGCTCAGCAAGTTTTCTCGATGCTAGAAAGAAGTCGGTAAAGAAAATACATGTCTCGTAATATGCCCCTCACAACATTACTTACATCAGGGTGGTCAAAGGTTGTTGGCTCCGCGGGCCACAAAATTATTTTGGCATTGGTCGCGGGCCACAATAGTACCAAGAATAGGTAAACAGTGCAATACATAACAAGCACTTCTATTGTGTAAACACATAGTTATCAGGCATTGCCAACCTAGGCTGATGGAATCCGCATCCGATGTTTAGTTTTCTACCATGCATATGGCAAAACGATAGAATTCCAGGTAACAATTTAGACTACCCATCACATCTTAAACTTTGCTAGCTGCTTCAGCTAGCCATCATACTAGTCAATTCAGTCACAGTAGTGATATAACAACAAAATGTCAAACGATTTTTCTGATTTATTACATGAGAAGCAATTTAAAATACGATATTTTAATTACTCTCCGAATGCGGCGCGGGCCACAGATTATGAATCGGCGGGCCACATGTGGCCCGCGGGCCTGGGTTTGGACCACCTTGACTTAGATAATCGCCCTCAACTAAAATTTTGTAAGATAAATTGAAAATTATGTTTTGTGTTCCAATATGATATTTTGATTTAAGAACCACTCGCACATCAACCACGCTATTTTACACAATGACAGATAATAAGTCTGTTTACATTCTGTGGGAACGTGGAATTTTCTTGTCTTCATTCGAGCTTCATGTCAGACAGCATGAAAGCTTAATTAATATGTAACAAATTGTCGTTATAAAAGATTGATGTAAACAGTCGAAATGTGACATCCGCCGTGTCGCATTCTTTTTCCGAAGCATACTTTATATTGAGCCATGTAATTGTTGTTGTTCATTTCTTATAGGATGCCGAGCATATTGGAAGCATCGGGTTCTTGTGAATTATCGGGCTTTCAGACAGCAATGTCTCAAATGTTGAGTATGTGGTGTGTTTAAATGACTTTAGATGAAAGGTTGAGCCTGTTTATGTTTCGTTTTCAAATGCGAATATTGGGGAATTTTTCATATAATTCTTATTACATATTGAAATTGCATTTTCAGACAAAATTGAAGCGGATAACGGACGCCATGCTGGATTACTATCAATCAACACAATTCATAGTAACCTAATATATCTTCAGTGAAAGTCTGTTTTTACTCTGCACCATTTATTAAGGCTACACCTCTTGAAAAGAACCCAGCAGCTTAACTATATACCCCCGAAAACGTTTTATATAAATATCAAAATCTTTTTCTCTTAAGAATTATTCTAGCAAATTTCAAAAAGGGAATAAATAATCCACAAAATGTCACAGGCGAGTAAAATAACATTGTTGCTATTTGTGACTGCTTTTGTTGTAACAGTCAATTGCAACACTTGTTCTGTTAAACCAATGGAGAAAGGCGTGGATTTGAATAGGGTGAGTACAGTATTATTAGCATTGAATTTCGCGGTATTTTTTATCGCTAGTCATCACTAACCTGTAAAGTTACCTCCAAAGTAAATTCAATTTCTGGTTGCCGTCGGAGAATAACCGCAACATTGACCAGTGAAAGTATTAGAAGTCCAGGTTCTCTAAAAGGTGCTCCTGGAGTATGCGTACCAAGATGGCGGACACCGGAACGTAGTATGTTTACCAGATTAAATTAGGCCATAATTTTATTCCAATTTTCCTTATTTCAGTTCTATTACGAGTTCGGGGACTAGTCAAGTGATTCCCGTAGTATTTGTACCTAAAATTATGGCTTAACCCTAACCTAGTACACATACTACGTTCCGGTGCCCGCCATCTTGGTACGCATACTTCAGGAGTACCAACTGAAATATGGCTAACGGTACAAATCGATAGATGCCAGAAATGCATTCCGCATTGCTTCTGAAAACGACTTCATTCGCTTTAACAGTAGTTGGAATTGATGGGAAATTCATAAGTTAAGAGAAATAATTCAATTTCATGCGACAAAAACTGTCTTACGTGTATCATAGCCCATTTTGAACTGAATATATTTTACGTCTCTCAGCTTGCTGGAACAACTTGGTATCAAATGCTTAATGCAGATGATCCGATTGATCGTGTCACACCTTGCTATGTCGTGAAGTTCGGTGAAGCCATAGAAGATGGAATCAGCTTTGAATTTGTTATGCTAGACCCCAGGTGGGTTTTAAGTTGAAGCGTAACAAATTCGAATGGTTCAGAAATCAGAAATGCTTATATGCAGCTAAGCAGATCTGTGCTGACTTAGTATGCAAGAAACGGGTGTGAATTTTCATTTGAAAGATTTATATGCCGTGTACAACCAAGGCGTCAATACACAGTTTTATATAATCCTTTTTTAATAAATGTGATTTGTATTGCACCTCATACCAAAAAGTCAATAAACTACCAGAATTGTCTTATTATATGAAGTTTGAACACAAAATTTCAAATAGTGAATTTTTGGTACTAATTTTTTTAGTAACTTGGGTCGTGTTGAGACATCTTATCAACAATTCTACAAGGAAGGACAAGCCTTCAGATTCAAGATGGAGAATGGTTATTATAATTTATTTGTTATCAAAAAAGATGTGACGAAATTGTAACCTGTGAATGTAAAAAAAGTTATTTAATTTGTTTATGGCCTTTTCGACTAATGATAAGATGCGCGCATCTAGATTTCATTTTTATGTCTCGGTATCGTTTCTCGTAGGGTTTTCCGCCCTTTCTTCAAGGTTTTGGTTTTCCAAGCGCGTCAAGTGACACTATGACGCATCGTCTGTGGTCACTAACCTCGCATGCGTTGGTAATTGAAAAGAATGTATAAGTTTTTACGGTGCTTTCAAGTTTCACATACTCGGATGTTTTGCACAGGGCAATTCAGAACCAAATATAGAACTATTCCATGAATAATCAGTTCATAAATTGAGCGCAAATAAAGCTGAATAATAGTTTCGCTGTATTTGTTATTTTGGTTGTTATTATTTATCAACAGCCACACATTTTTACAATAGATGATATGCTTTAGCATATACCCATAAACGTATGCCAAACATTGAGGCGATTTTTCTCACCAAATTCAGGTCTTTGCTTTTAAACTATGATTAACATCCTTTCCAATCTTACACTTTTCTATTCCTATCCTCTTAGGCTTCTCTAAAAATTGTTTTGTTTCAGAGAAAAAATGGTTGAAGGCTTCGCTAAAGCAGGCGTTGGATAAACCAAAAGATGCGAGTGGAGACGAGAAGGGTCAGTGAATTTAATATAGACAAAACATTGAACATTTTATGAGCATTGCTAAATATTAATAAATATTTTAACCCTTCCATTTTATACAAACAGTTTTGTCTATAAGTTTCTGCGCAAATTCCGAGAAGTGTGTATTAATGTTCATTGCTATTTTTGTTGAATGACAATAATTTGTTTCCGTTTATTGAAAATATCCAATTCAATCATCAAAGCGAATTTCATCCTTGTATTATTTTTCAGAATTACTCGATCACTTCAAATACCCTGTGCATATCTATACCGACTACGAAACTTACTACATTGGTATTTTGTGCCTAGAAGGTAAATATTTAAAGTTCTAAATATGCAAATCACAACTTGTTCAATGATGAAAAAAGCCACAATTTCTGGTTGCTGTCGGAAAATAACCGCAACATTGACCAGTAAATATATTTAAAGTCCGTGTTCACTAAAAGATCATCGCTAACGGCACAAAGGGATATTTGCCAGTAATGCATTCTGCATTGCTTTTAAAAACGATTCCTTTCTCTCCAACAAGTGACACAAACATTAACCGTCGACTATTTCCGACATTGCATTGAAGTTTAATTTATTAGTAAGTAAATTTCGAAATGCACACAGCGCATTCAGAAGATATGTAATTTATCAGGATATTTTATTTATTTTTTACCTCAAATCACAATTAGAAAGACATAATACGTTGACTATTTTCATTATTAAGTTGAAATACGTTTTACCCCTGTTAAACAAGTCTAGGAAAATTGTTTAAAATAACCACACGATTCACTTACATGACGTAATGACTTATTTTTATACGTTTCACCCCTGCTAAACATTTCCTAGTTAAGATAACATTTCAACGTAATTGGTATATTTTTATCCCTAAGGTTAATGAAGCTAATTGAGCCGTATTGTATTATTATAGAAATACGTCATTCCCAATTCCAAATTGACAATATTTTGTTTTTATTATTCACAGATAGCCCGGCAGTGTTTGCGTATTCTTCCTACAACGGTATCTCAGCTGAAACTACGGCAAAAATATATAATGCAATGATTGAACACGACGATATGCCTGTACCTTTATATTTCTCCAAGTGCCCTTTGATAAAAAACATTGAAGAATATTTGAAGTAATTTGTCATGAACATTTTCATTTGCTGTCAGAGCGGATCGTAATATTGAAATGTTATCATTGTGTAAATATTTGTATTGTAACTGTTTTTTCAACACAGAGACTTGAAATGAAACTCTGTTAAAGGAGAATGAACAATTAAATTTATTGTAAAGAATTTTAAAGAGAATAAACTTATTCAACATTTGTCATGCATTCTTTGGGTATTCGCTAATAATACAGCAGAGTTTGAGTTTGTAAAAGGAAGATATTCAAATACAAAATAGGTCTCTCTACAATGGAGGATTTTTCTTATTTTAATTTATAATCTTTCTAGGAGCACAAAATCAGGTTATTCAATTCTGCTTGTTGTGATACAGCGGTTTTACGCTCATGAAGGGAAAATTTACAATATACATTTGATATAAGTCAAAACTAGGTGGTAATTGCTCATATCTTATTTTTACAAATGTTTGTATTTGCTGTGTGGGTGATGTGAGTACCCATTTGGGTTCTCCCGAAGTGAGATTCTAAGTGACTTCCGTATTAATAGTACCTGAAAATTATGGCCTAAACCTAAACTGGTACACATAATACGTTGTGGTGTCCGCCATCTTGGTTTACATACTTCGGGAGTACCCCCATTTGTTTCTATGTTAGGTTTAGTTAAGTTTTTTTCTAGTGATCTTGTATTATTATCACTATATTTTACAGTGAGTGTGGACCTGTGGTATAACATAACTTTTTGTTAATCTCAGTAACACAACGCAAATCATTCCGGTTTCCACCTCGAAAAGTTTTTTGTACAATTCAGAGTTTATCAATATGAAATCTTAGATTTATTGCTTTGTATGCAGTATGCAAAAATATTCTTAGAAACCCACGGTGAAAGGTAAATTAAGTACTTGAAGCATAATAAGCGTGGACGTTACTACATCAATAATAAATTGCATGTCAAAAATGTTCAAATTCAAATTTTGCCACAATCATTTTTCGATTTATCAATAACAAGAGAGCTATGCTCAAATATACGGACACGTAGCGCCACCCAGTGGCGATAATTTTGATGACGTCATAGCGAGAGAAAAAGTAATAGCCTTCTGGAGAAAAATTTTCTCTTTAACCACTGAAAATATCAAAGCATTTGGTCCAGTATTCGAAGAGAAAAGCGATTTTTTTAAAATGGAGACGGAGACAAACAACAACAAGAGAGCTATGCTCAAATATATGGACACGTAGAGTCACATAATTTTGATGACGTCATAGCGAAAAAAAAAGTAATAGCCTTCTGGAGAAAATTTTTATCTTTAACCACTAAAAATTTCAAAGCAATTGGTCCAGTATTCGAAGAGAAAAGCGACTTTTTAAAAACGTGTCAAGCGGTACTGAGTTAGCAGTCAGGCAGCATCTTACCTGTACACTGTAGGCCATATACAGTAATTGATCACAGAACAGTTGTTCCCTTGCAAATTTTATGTTGTTTACACTTTAGGACAGATAATTGATCACAGAACAATTCTTCCCTTTCAAATTTTATGTTGTTTCCAGTAGACTTTCATCAAAATAAACAAATATAGTAGGCTACAAGTGCTACAACGCTTGCATTACTGCACTGGTAGGACCGTGAAAGAATAAGTTACGGTAATTTCATTGTGGTAAGACACCGGTACCGGCACCAGTACCAGTATCGTACTTACGTACTGAGCTACCAGTACCGGTTAGCAGTCAGCCAGCATCTTACCTGTACACTGTAGGCCATATACGGTAATTGATCACAGAACAGTTGTTCCCTTGCAAATTTTATGTTGTTTACACTTTAGGACAGATAATTGATCACAGAACAATTCTTCCCTTTCAAATTTTATGTTGTTTCCAGTAGACTCTCATCAAAACAAGAGAGCTATGCTCAAATATATGGACACGTAGAGTCACATAAATTTGATGACGTCATAGCGAAAAAAAAAGTAATAGCCTTCTGGAGAAGATTTTTATCTTTAACCACTAAAAATTTCAAAGCAATTGGTCCAGTATTCGAAGAGAAAAGCGATTTTTTAAAAACGTGTCAAGCGGTACTGAGTTTGCAGTCAGGCAGCATCTTACCTGTACACTGTAGGCTATATACGGTAATTGATCACAGAACAGTTGTTCCCTTGCAAATTTTATGTTGTTTACACTTTAGGACAGATAATTGATCACAGAACAATTCTTCCCTTTCAAATTTTATGTTGTTTCCAGTAGACTCTCATCAAAATAAACAAATATAGTAGGCTACAAGTGCTACAACGCTTGCATTACTGCACTGGTAGGACCGTGAAAGAATAAGTTACGGTACCGTAATTTCCTTGTGGTAAGACACCGGTACCGGCACCAGTACCAGTATCGTACTTACGTACTGAGCTACCAGTACCGGTACCGAACCTGTAGGTCTGATATTCCGTTCCGCATACGATAGGCTATAAAACTTGCATTGCAGCATTAGTAATACCGCGGAAGGAATAAGTCAATTTCACTGCGTTACGGTACCGGTATGGCAACTTACCAGTACCGACCTACAGTAGCTGTAGTACTGAGCAAGACAATCGATCGCGAAACCGCTTGAAATAAGTGTAAAACAGTGTTCCCATGAGTAAAAATAAATACCGCGAAATTTTGTATGAAATATCATATCTCATAGGATTCATATAAAATTTAAGAATAAACAAAAGTAATAGCCTTCTAGCGAAAAAATTAATCTTTAACCACTGAAAATTTCAAAGCAATTGGTCCAGTATTCGAAGAGAAAAGCGACTTTTTAAAAACGTGTCAAAGAACAAGAACAACAACAACAACATAATATTGAAACGATCGTTATGTCCACTACGTGTCCAATAAACAAATATAGTAGGCTACAAGTGCTACAACGCTTGCATTACTGCACTGGTAGGACCGTGAAAGAATAAGTTACGGTAATTTCATTGTGGTAAGACACCGGTACCGGCACCAGTACCAGTATCGTACTTACGTACTGAGCTACCAGTACCGGTACCGAACCTGTAGGTCTGATATTCCGTTCCGCATACGATAGGCTATAAAACTTGCATTGCAGCATTAGTAATACCGCGGAAGGAATAAGTCAATTTCACTGCGTTACGGTACCGGTATGGCAACTTACCAGTACCGACCTACAGTAGCTGTAGTACTGAGCAAGACAATCGATCGCGAAACCGCTTGAAATAAGTGTAAAACAGTGTTCCCATGAGTAAAAATAAATACCGCAAAATTTTGTATGAAATATCATATCTCATAGGATTCATATAAAATTTAAGAATAAACAAAAGTAATAGCCTTTTAGCGAAAAAATTAATCTTTAACCACTGAAAATTTCAAAGCAATTGGTCCAGTATTCGAAGAAAAAAGCGACTTTTTAAAAACGTGTCAAAGAACAACAACATAATATTGAAACGATCGTTATGTCCACTACGTGTCCAATAACAACAAAATTTTGAAAAGATCGTTATGGCCACTAAACGTGTCTAATAATATAAAAACAAGAGAGCAATGCTCAAATATATGGACACGTTAACCAGAGTGAAGCAGTCCTTACCTTTGACGCTACCGGTACCCTCAAAAATTTCCCGAGTTTCGAGTAGCAAGAAGTTACAGAATCAAACCGGACAGCCATTGTTCCCATGGATAAAATTCGGATGACGTCATAGCACACAAAAAACGAATCCCAAGCAGCTCACCGGAATATATGAAATAAATAAAAGTGAAAGCCTTCTAGCGAAAAATTTAATCTTCAAGCACTCAAAATTTTAAAGCGATTGGTTCAGTAATCAAAGAAAAAGCGGGTTTTTCAGTGACAAAGAACAACAACAACATAATATTAAAACGATCCATAGGTCCACTTACGTGTCCAATAAAGTGTTGTACGCAGTTTAACACAGTGGAGGGCAAGCAGTGCTATATCATAGCGTTAGAGACAATATGATTATGATATTTGCTTATCCTAAATATGAATACGGTATGACGGAATGCTTTAAGTTTACGTAAAATAATAGTCAACAGTAAAAGGTAATCCTTATTCAATATCGAACATTAAAATTCGCTTGCGTTTTACAGGCAAATTGGACCTTCAAGATAAGTGAGGAAGTGTTTTATTTTACTTTCGAAGGGAGGGGGCACAAATAAATTTATATCAAACAGCTTCTAATCCGTATACTCATCAATGACGTGTGTATTGCCCGATAAAAACTCGGCATGAGATAACAATGCAGTCCTAACATTTCTATATCGGAAACAAGAGAGCTATGCTCAACTATATGGACACATTAAAATAATAAATCTTTACTCTGAAATTAAAGAGCAAGTTATTTCGATGCAAAAAAGAAGTCTGTAAAGAAAATACAGGTCTCGTAATATACCCCTCACACGGGCGGATTAAGCCCCTTTGGTGCCCTAAGCACTGAAGACTTTGGTGCCCCCTCATGTGTAATTTGATTATAAAAACAATAAACCACATAAGTGTATTATCCATTAAAAATAATCACAACCAACAGTAAATAAAACAACTTTTACGAACATTTTCAGTTTTTTCACTGTTATATATAGCCGATATATATATATGATATATCGGCAAACATGCAATATCGGACCGATATATATCGGTTGAGCTCCAATCCTGAGGGTGTGTGACAATAAAGATTCATGCCTCCAGTCTCAACGTGAATCGAAATACCAAAGCATACAAGTCACAACCGTAGTTTGAAATTAGTCTACCCCAGGGTGCTTCAAGGTTGCTAGGTTGAAGGACCGCAAAAGCTATTGAGGAGGTCTCGCGGGCCGCAAGTCGGAGAAACCCCTAAAGTGATCGAAATATCGCTAGTTTACTCAGTTCAAATTTAATAAAGAACGAGAGTTTACCGTTCTAATCAGACTATTATTATGTTGCATGGGTGGCGTTCTTTTGAAGAAGATATATAAAGCCTTCAGTTATTTTAAAGTTAATTCCCGAGAATTACCG